ATGGGGTTCTTCAAATCCACTCACCACCAACACTTGAGTTTGTAACTTTAGTTTGTAACATTGGTGCATTGCATTTTCCTTTTAGTTTGTAACTTTTAATTAACTTTGAATTGGATTTTTCTTTTTAGTTGTAACTTTAATTCATTTTGCTTTGCATTTTCCTTTTGGTTTGTAACTTTAAAGGATTTGGAATTGGAATGCTTGAGAAGTTTAACTTTAATTGGAATGCTTGAAATTGTAACTTTAATTTTCTTTACGTTGTGAATGCTTAAGAAGTTGAGGAGATTGTGAATTTATATATGCTTGAAAAGTTGAGGTTGTGTATTTATTTATTTAGGTTGTGAATTTATATTTTTGTGAATGCTTAAGAACTTGCGGTTTTAAACCGCAAAAAGCGGTCGGTTTGCGGTTTCAAAAATCACCATACCGCAAATAGTCTGTCGGTTTGCGATTTGGACAAAAATTCACGATTACCGAACCGCAATCACCCCTAACAGTAATACAGTACAGAACGTAAAAACGGATAAAAACACAGAAGTTATTTTACGTGGTAAAACCCCACCTCTGGGGAAAATCCACGGGACCTGATAGTCCAAGGCAAATCCACTATATAACGATGATTACAAGAAGTATACAAACTTGTCCTAGACACTTTAGACAACGTACCAACTTCTTCGTAACTCAACTTCTCGCGGGATGATCTCTCGACACTCCTTATGTTGAATGCAATACTAGTCACGATTGCTTCAAGCTTGCCGGAGTTCTTCCAACTCTTCTTATGTTGAATCTGATACTGGTCACGATCGATTCAAGCTCACCGGAGAAAAACCGCCACAACGGTCTTGGTGCCCTCAACCGTATGAGTCACCGAACATGCAAATGAATGCAATATGAATACAAAGATAAATCACCAAGATAATCTTACTCTTGATAATTTATCCTTCTGGAAAATAAAGCACATCAACTTTCTTTTTTGTGTATATGAAAACTCAAGAAATACTCTAGTAGTTGAAAGTTGTTGTTTTTTTTTAGAATGAAACCAAACCTTGCTTTTATAAAGGTTTTCAAAGCTGGAAACAAGATTTATTACTTCCTAATCAACATATTAATTTTCCAAAATCAGACTAATTGATTTCCAATCAAAGAAGACTTTTTAATGTTCAGAACATGAAAGCAATTTAATCTTTCTTAAAATAAAAAGTCTTCTTAATCAAAATGTTAAACAGATTGTGACTTTGAAATAATGCTTGAAATACCACAATCAAGATGCATGATTGAATGAAGAATTTACCTTAGTGATTGTTGATTGACATATGAGCCTTCAGAGCATATCTTGGAATTTAGACATCCACCATCACAACTAATTTACCATTTATATTTAGTCTAATTTGTCTCTAGGAAATGCCAATCACAAAATCAATACTAACAGTCTATTTTCCAATATCCGAGTTTGAATTTCTCTCCATGTAACTTAGAGTAATTTAGAATACCTCATCTAAAAGAAAAAAGGTATGGAAAGTTGGTGAGAGACAAACAGTATTTGTCCTCAGGTCTATGTTGTTAGCTCATTAGCTTAAGAGGGTCGTGGTCTACTTGATCGGCGCCCCAGCTCATTAGCTTAAAAGGGTCGTGGTCTGCTTGATCGGCGCCCAAGCAAAGCTAACCCAACTTCGTTGCTGAAAAAGGTTGACTTTAATGAAAATCGGAGTATCAATTGGGCATTCTTTATTTGGTGGTTTCAGTTTGTGGGGTTTCAACATATAGGTCCAACAAAAGGTTAAATTTTACATATGACTGTTGTATAAACACTCTTCTCATGACACGTATAGCTCAAGTTGTTAAGAGCAGTTACAACATAATTTCCTCTTAAACTTTTCATGTGATTTGACTGCTTGAATGTGAAAGAGAAATTTCGTATTACCAAGAATTCTGTTTACACTCAGTGTTTCAATGGGTTTCTATTTTTATTTTCACCATTCTCTGGACACCCAACTCATCCCAAAAATACCATTTCTCTACTTCATCAAAATATTTTTCTTTGGACACCTATCTCCATCATTGATTGATTTCATTTTCTGTGTCACCAACCCTGAACCCAGCTTTACTCATCTCCTCACTTCACCTCATTTAATATACAATGATTGTGTAAGTGTAAAGGAGGGATGAGATGAGAGAATGATGAAAAATAAATTGATGGAGAGCCAAAGAGTGGGAGGAAAACTGAAGAACTGAAAATGTTTAGGCTTTCAGATCCAAAAGAGTTTTGGAATTTCATTATTTTATACAATTATTTTCTAGTTTACGTTGTTGGATATATATAAAAGTCTGTTAAAAATAAGAAGAATGCAAGCTACCTTCCCATTTGTGCCTTATTTTTCCACCTTCTTCATTCTCAGCTTACAATATGATTTAATGAACAAAATTTTGTATGTTCTTGGTCGCCCTTCAAAGTTCATCACAAGAAAAGGGTTATTTTAGGACTTCAAAGTTCATCACAACAAAAGGGTTATTTTAGGCCTAAGGAAACATACCAAGAACATACCCTCGGGGCCCTAGTCATTAACAATCAAGTTAAGTGCTCTGTTCAACATTGTTCCAAAGGGTATCTGCTAAAACTGGTGGACATTACTTTCACAACCAATTTGGACTCTAATAAGCCGCTCTCAAGCTGACCAACAAGTTTATGAAACCCAGGTTCATCTGGGTCTGGCCTATCAAGTTTTTTTGTTTGTTTTTGGTTACAAGCGATATTGGGAGGAGGGAATCACATCTAGGACCTCAAGTGTAAGGATAGATGCTCTTAACCGCTTGAGCTACAAGCCCTTGCTAGCCTATCAAGTTTAAGCAAATGGTCAATGCGAGTATTTGGGTTTGCCTACCAAGTTTTCATTATGGCTCTACAAATGTTTGTAATATCCAAGAGAAAGCAGTGATTGCTTTTCCAGGAAGACCTTCAATCTTGTACTCCACACACATTTAGCACACATTTTATACATAAATTTTGGTACAAGGCATTTTGCAGCTCACAAGTAAGCCTAATACAATCTTAAAATCCACAAAATAGAGCATTGCAAGCCTGACCAAATACAAAAAGTCTGTTTACAAAAAGGCATCTTCTACCATGTGCCCAGAACAACATGTTGAATTATGAAAGGAAAGAATTGGCCACTCTGTTCCCTGTATATAATCATTGAAGAAAATTGGCATTTCACAAGGCAGTACTAATTGAAAACATGAAGAGATATCATGGTGATGCACTTGGAAACTAGATCAAAGGAGGGAGTATGTGCAAGTGAATTCTGTCCAATTGGCTACACTAGCTTTCTTACTGAAACTCATTCAAGGAGGGAGTATGTGCAAGTATATTCTGTCCAATTGGCTCATACTTTCCTTTTTCTCTTTAATTTGGAGTAGAAGGATTTAAAATTGGGATATTTCAGTTCAAAGGCTCCTTTCAAAACATAAAACAAGAAAACTTGAATGGATTATAAGTTATGTTCTTGAAGCATGTAATTCATAGCTAGCTGTAGAGTGAATATTGGTTTGATATGTTAAAAGCTTAAAATTAAAACAACAAATGCAGTACTAGAAATTAAGTTAGATAGAGAGGAGAGGGAGAGGGGGAGAGAGAGAGAGCCATACCATGGCCAGAAGGGATAGCGTATCTCAAACTTTCTTCTTTTCCTGAGAGAAAGTAAACGTTGATAAGTGGCTTTATGTCTAAGACCTATTTTATATCCCCTGAGCTATTGGCTCAACTTTTATCAAGAAAGTTACTTTCAGATTGACTAATAAGTAAGAGTATCCACTCTGTCTTCTCAACATCAGGAAGAGATTTCAGTAGAGAGAATTCTTCTGGGTTACCACTCAATATTATGCGTACAGCCTTAAAAACTTGCAATCTACTGAGGTTAGGTATCTTTGAAACCACTCCAAGGACCTCCTCTCCTTTGAGTTGTAGTTTCATTTGACTTGCCAAAAACTCCACAGTAACTTTGACACCTCACCAGCTGCATGTTCCAATGGATCTTTTTTCGCTTTCTTATTTGGATGCAAGTCAGAAGTTGAAGTTAACGGATTTATACAAGCATGAGAGTTAGGAATCAAATTGTCGTTATTTTCTTCTTCAACCTCCATTATTTCTTCAGCACAAGCACAGAGAGAAAGCAAACATCAAACAGAGCAAAAACAGCACAAGAGAAAAGATTCGTTTTTCTTATATTGTTTACACACAAAGATATTAAACTGACAGAATATTGGTAACAAGCAGAGAGAAAGCAAACATCTGATTCTAATCTATCTGAATTCTGAAGTATAACAGCATTGACTAAACTAGCAAAGGTGTGAAATGCATCGTGACTATTATAACCAGAAAGAGAGGAAATGTGATGAAGTTCATACCTCATTGTCACATGAAGCATCTGAGTCGTTCATTTTATTATCCATGTACAATGTCAAATATAGATTACAGTGATGTGGGAACATTGTAAAATTTTCCAAATATAATAAGACCTCTCCATCACTTCATACGTTTTCAAGAACAGAGGCAACTAATTTTCGAAGACAGGAAAATGTGAAAATATGAGCCATTATCGCATTAGTAGACTACTTCATGATTTATCTTTCACACTAAACCTTAAAAGAAAACATATGTGATTTCAAACAGAGAGCTTATCCTCTAAAGGTTTCCACTTACCATGCAAACAAGATATACACAATCGAAGGACATAAGTACTAATCACAGAAACATTCCATGTTTGATGCCTATTGCTATTATAAGTTCAACTCTGCTCCTAACTATGATGCTACCAATGAAAACCCGGAAATTTTTACCACTTTCACTTAAAAACAATAAGGGCCTATGCATTTTACAGTAATAAGCTGAATGTCCAAGTGTAATATAAGGAGCATTACATTTGATTAAGCCTCCTTTATAAACTCTTTTACACACACATATAAATTAACATCTGTCTGTTAAATGGATTCTCAATATCTGTCTATTAAAACCTCGTTAACATCTGTCTATTAACATTTGACTGACCTGCAGATGGCTGTTTCGAAGAAGGTGGGATGACCGAGTGGGTGGAAATGGGGTGCACCTCACCCCTGTGCTCAGCAACGCCATTGGTAATTAGGGCCATATTGGGCGTGTGGCTCACCACCGCTTGAGGCTGCTTGACTGCCGGAGAACATGGAGTAAAGCTATAGCCAAAAATATCCATGTTGTCCAATGGCGACCAAGGAGAATAAAGCTTATCCGTAGGCTCAACTGGCACATGAGAAGCCATGGCGAAGCACGTGATCAAGGACGTAAAAGGCAGGGAGTCGGGCATGGAAGTTAGGAATGCAGCACGACAGATGGCACAAAAATGTAGGTGGCCAGATCAATGGGCACATTGTTGCCAATGGCATAAAGAAGGCGAGCTCTATCAGGGCTAAGCAAAGAGGGATAACGTGACAAGGAGGATCGATATTATATCTCACTATGCTGTTAAGCACTTTGTAGAAATCACTCAGTCGATTTTCACGCAAAACCCTGACCCTCTTGTTCCAACCCAAAGTAGATTTCACCAACTTCAAGTCAAGATTATCAACAAGAAGCCCAGGAAAACTAGGTGATTTTTCATTTGGGTTTGGCCTAGCAAGTTTAAGCAACTGGGCAATGCCAGAAACAGAGAAATTCAACACCTTACCTCGCAAATACACATCAAATGAGTCAGGGTATTCTCGACCGCTGGAGAAATGCAGAGTCTCATCCCACAAACAAGAACCAAAAGGGCCCAAGCCAGGTGGGTTTTTCTGCTCGGCGAAGAAAGGAGGAATGTTTGAGTAGAATTCTTGGACAATCTGGATATTAGCAGGCTCTGAAGGACCCATTGCCAAAAGCAAACCTCTTGATTTGAAGATTCTGCGAAGCCCAAGATCCTCGAAGTCACTGAATTTGACCTCCCGCTCAACCGTCACACGTTGAACACTGAAGATTTTCTTGTAGCGGTTCATTGCTTCCGAAGTCTTGAACTTACTTTCATCAATATCGTCATCAACGTAAGCTCGCCCTCTACCCATCAAATCAATAATATCCAATTACAACGAAGTAGTAGTTTTAGAAGATTTGAGCTAAAAATGGTTGTGGGTTGGATTGAAGGAGGAGGATGACAAGAGCAAATGACGTTTGAGTTGGGAGAAAATGGAAATTCCGAAAATGAAAAATGTATACTGTTATTCTTCTAGGGGAGTGAGGGGGGAAAAGAGGGAGGAGATGGGAGGGAAACTTTTTCATAAACGCGCCACTTTAATTTTACGTTTAGAAAGTTGATTTTAAAATCTCTACTATTTTGCCCACTTGGGCTGGCCAATCAATCTGCTATCCTGGACAAAATGCATGATAAAGAAGAGCATCCAAATCAGATCGCATTTTTTTTGTTTTTGAAAAGGAAGTTCATTGAGTTGGGATTAATGGATGAGAAGACGTGGGGCCCGTGTCGTCAGGACACATAACGAGCTGGGATGAAAGGACCGTAGGAATCCAACGACTTCCTTCAAACTACTGTTTCGTTTTCTTTTCCAATTTAATTTCTATCGTTATATAATATCTAACGATTAAGCGTTAATTTGAGCAAATCCAACTATAAAAGAAAAAATACAATGGCTCAAAATCAAATCCAATGGCCAAAATAGTATTATTAAATAATCAAAATCAGATCAAACAACAAAACTCACTCCAAACGCTATAATAATCCACCAAAATCAGTTTGTGTTCCACTTTGTTAATTTTGGTAAATCTCCTTCCATTCTTGTTGAAGAGAAAACTCCAATTAAGTGTGAAATTACATTATGTTTTGGAATTTAAATTTTTTAAAGTTAAAATAATTAGAAAATTAAATCATGAAAGTTTAAACAAAAAAATTGTCAAGAAAACTCAATGGCAAAAAAAATTAGGAATTAACCATTCTTAAACAATTTAATAAAGTTGTGTTTGAGTCTGTATGGTTAGAGGAAAAAACGATTTAAGTCCGAGCAATATATTAATAGTTGTATTTTAGAGTTTTGTTCAGTGCGTTTCATGGTGAGCGATATTCTTGAAAAAATCACTGAGAATCTGTATCCGTTTTGTGCACTATACTTAAATGCCCCGTGGTTGTTGTTGAATTTCTCCGTTTGCATCTATTCTGTTGCAACTTTCTGTTGATTTCCTGACCAAATCCAGTAAACATTATATTCAAAGAAAAAGGGGGATTCTGATTTAGAACCACAATTGAATGTTATTCATAGATTAAGTTCTTATGGTGATACTATAATTTTTTATTTTTTATTTTTTTTGGGTCAAAAGAGGAATTCATTCATAATAATACTCTCACCCAAAAGCTGGGGAGGAAACAGTACACGATAACAAAGTAACAGCTTACACCATCAAAACAAAGGCAGAGAAGCAGAACAGGTGCTATCTCAGAAACATAGATGGGATAAGACACACACTAGGCCTGAAAATAGTGTGGACAAGGGAGGCCATCGCGAGACAGAACCGAAACAAGAGAGGGAGGAGGTTGCGACATCCATCGGACGTTACCCACCCTCGCATTTGACACCTTTGTTGCAGCATGGGCAACTTGATTTGCCAATCTTGGCACCCAATTCCATTGGACATACTGGAATTCTTGAGCCTTTCTCCAAATCTCCGCGAGGATAGGGAAAATCTTCCAGCTAGCCATTGTTCTTTTCTTTGTAATGCAATCCACAACGATCTTCGCATCACATTCAACCACAATATTTTGGTGATCCAACTCCGCAGCTAAATTAAGTCCCGTAAGAACTGCCAATGCTTCCATCTCCTCAGGGAGGATAAAATACAGGATCTAGATTCACCCCCAAGTGAGTGTCCCTCGATAGTCCCTAATCACACAGCCAGTGCGAGCAGCCATCGTGTCTTTACTCCAAGCTCCATCAACGTTAATTTTGATTATGGGGGCCAAGGGGGCCTGCCAAACTGCATCATTAAAAACAGTCACGACATCTCTCCTTCGATAATTCCCAACCAATGATACCAGCAATTGCTGCAATGGGAAGGCCTATCGTATGTCTAGGAGATACGGTCTCAAGGGATTGCAGCCAAAAATCAAAAGTATGGTTGGTTGGTTTGTTTTGCATTCTATTCTCTTGCGGGGAAATTTCACTCATTCCAACTATTAGAATCACTCGTAGAAATGACATCTTATCTGATAAGTCTAATAGGAAGAAATGAAATTGGTAGTTCATAGATATTCTTGTGTGTGAATAAACAGTAGCAAATTAGTAAGTCCATAAATGCTGCTACTTTATTTGCATGTCTAATCTTGCTGACTGTCTCTTTTACTTGCAGTTCATTGATGTTGGAACCCTGATTTCTCCAAAGATTTTTACCCGACGTTGTATTCGAATTTTTATTTGATTTGATTTCATGTTAGTTAAATGTTTCCAGAATATGAACTAATCTGAAAAAGAAAAAGTTGAGAAAAACAATGGGAGGGAAGAATCGCTCAGAAGCTTGCAATTTGTGTACAGAATAATACATAAAAAATTCCTGGTGTATACACTCTCTGTCGGGTTATAATAAAATGGATATAAAAATAAATTATTACTTTGCTGAAAAACTGTTTAAGTTTGACAGAATTTTGCATAAGACTGAAAACTATGAGATATGAAGAAACAATGCTGGAAACCAAATGTTTAAAATACTCACCAGAAAATAGAACATTCATGGAAACCAAATGTTTGGATAACTTCCAATCAATTTCTTAGGAAATTCCCAATACATAATCGCTTGCGAACAAGACACTATAACAAAGAGCTGAGCTATACGAATCCAATACTTGAAAACGTTTCCATGGAAGCTATGCACTCTTCAAGTCAAATGAAGCATGGATGTCATCTCGGAAGGTGCTGGAGCTAAAGATAAAAGTTAACAAGCACCCGTAAGTATGGAAACAAAAGTTAATTATAAAAACTGTTGATGTTCAAATTTCTCCCGTTTCACTCTTTTATTTTTAGTTCAATCCTTGGCTTTTTTTAATTTTTTTTTGTGTAGTCTTGATTCTTGGAAGCAACATTTTTACGTTTTATTACTTTTTTGTACAATTATTTCTTCTCATCTGAGTCTTCTTAGCCCTCTTTTTGCTCCAAGGTTAGAGCATTTACCTTCGGAAAATTTTTGTTTACACTACATTATGCAACTTTACGACAGCAAAAAGGACACATTATAAGCAGTCAATATTTTATGTTCGATTTTGTTAGCCAATATTATTATTATTATTATTATTCTTATTTTGAAAAGTAATCGTTAGCCAATATTATTAGTGTTGAATAAAAATAAAAATGAAGAAAAAACTTAATCAAGACCCCACGTAGGAAAGGATTCTAGGTCCAATATCATATTCTGTTTGTTGCACTAGGTCCAATATTAATGAGGGGATCTCAGAAGATTCTAGGCCCAATATCATTTTTATAACCCACGAAAATAGACAGTTTGGGTTCTATCCATGTTTTGTCATGGCCATGGGAGTTTTCAATTTTTCAATACGAATACAATCCAACATGGTCTCAAACTTCACTGACATGGTCTCTAACAAAGGCAACGTCTACGGTGCATCTGGTGCACCAGTGCGCCATTTTTTTTAAAACTGTTACAACAAGTAGTAGGTAAAGGATGACGGGAAAAAGCTTAGATGCTTATTTACTTTTCTTCATTTGGTTAGTACATGTTCCAAGGTCTACTTAGGGCTCGTTTGGGAGTGCTTCTTCCCAAAGCGCTTATGCTAGTAGCGCTTATATCAGTATCGCTTATGACATAAGCGCTTCTACAAAAAAGTAGTTTGTCGTTTGGATGTCACATTTAAAAGTACTTTTACATTACATAAAAAGCGCTTTGATATTTTGTTGAGTGTTTGGCTGACACAGTAAAAGGTTATCTTGAGTCTTCTTTTCTGTTCTCATATTTTTCTCTCAAGTCTTTTAGGTTGACATATGGTTCAATGTATTTGTGTTGTTTCAATTTTTCTTAATAAAGTTATGTTTCCTGTGAACAAAGGATAAAATATAAAATATTGAGGAACAGAATACGTTTTCCACAAGCTGGAAGTCGGCTTCAGCAATATATGCTGCTGCTATCTTCCTTTGTCGGTTCACTGTGTAGCGTGAATTTTTATATTTTCGTTTGTCTTTTCCTGTTGAATATATATATTGTTCTTCCAGTGTTCGAGAAAATTTTTTCAAATTAATATTGGAAAGGGCATTCAATTTTATTGAAATTTAAAGTTCTATATACAAAATTCAGAATTTTACAACTAGTTAAATCCATGCCTTCCATTTCAGAGTGGCTCTCCATAGCTTATGTGAACACACTGGATTTAAGTAATAGGAGAGAAAAGAGAGAAAAAAAAGAAGAAAGAAAGGGTATTTTGGAATTTTAAAAAATAAAATATGGGTATTTTCGGCATTTTAAAAGTTTCATTAAAGGGAGCCAAGTGCTTCCCATGTTTTTGTCCTGCAGCGCTTTTAAGAAGAAGCACCTCTCAAGTGCTTCTTCCAAAACCACTCCAAATGCTTTTAGATCTCACTCAAAGCACTTTTGCAATTTTTGCCAAACACAATTTTTAAAAGATAAAAGCGCTTTCACCCATTTAGAAGCGCTTTTCGCTGCTCCAAAAGCACTCCCAAACGAGCAAGCTTAGATTTTTAGTTATTCTCATGAATAATATTGTTTTGTTTTCCTATCTTGTAAAAATTTGGTGAATTTAATTTCAACAATGCTAATATTTTCAGAGACTTGTCGGACTCATATTTTAGTAGAGCCCATGCCAAGTCTGATGCAACCCATGTGAAGGAGCCCGTGTCGTCAGGACACATGGCAAGCTGGGATGAAAGGATCGTAGGAATCCAAGGGCTTCCTTCAAACTACTGTTTTGTTTTGTTTTCCAATTTAATTTCTATCGTTATATAATATCTAAAGGCTAAGATTTAATTTGAGCAAATCCAACTGTACAAAAAAAAATAAAAAAATAAAAAATTCCAATGGCTCAAAATCAAATCCAATGGCCAAAATAGTATTATTAACTAATCAAAATCAAATCAAACACTAAAACTCACTCCAAACGCGATAATAATCCACCAAAATCATTTTTTGTTCATTCTCACTTTGTTAATTTTGGTAATTCTCCTTTCATTCTTGTTGAAGAGAAAACCCCAATTAAGTGTGAAATTACATTATGCTTTGGAATTTAAATTTTTTTAAGTTAAAATAATTAGAAAATTAAATCACGAAAGTTTAAACAAAAAAATTGTCAAGAAAACTTAATGGCAAAACAAATTAGGAATTAACAATTCTTAAACAATTTAATAAAGCTGCGTTTGAGTCTATATGGTTCGAGGAAAAAACGATTTGAGTCCAAGCAATATATGAATAGTTGTATTTTAGAGTTTTGTTAAGTGCGTTTCATGGTGAGTGATATTCTTTAAAAAGTAATTGAGAAAGTAAATATCAAAGAGAGGAAAAACAGCACAAGTGAAAAGATTCGTTTTTCTTATATAGACACACAAAGATATTAAACACACAAAGTATTTGGTAACAAGTAGAGAGAAAGAAAACATCTGGTTCTAATCTATATGAATTCTGAAGTATAACAACATTGACTAAACCAGCAAAGGTGTGAAATGCATCGTGGCTATTATAACCATAAAGAGACAAAATGTGATGAAGTTCATACGTCATTGTCTCATGAAGTATCTGAGTAGTTCATTTTATTATACAATGTCAAATACAGATTACAGAGATGTGGGAATATTGTAAAATTTTCCTCTGTAATTAAAATTAAAAGAAAAATCAGATAATGGATTCTATTTTTATAGAACACAACAACCAATTATATTTTTTAAATCCAAAATAAATTTTGTTTATACCAAAATAAGCAGCCAATAAACATTTGACACGTGGACCAAGCTGGAGCTATGGGAGCCTTCGACATCTAGCTTTGGCATCTTATCTACTGATCGCTCTATTAGGGCAACCTTGGCATCTGGGCCACGTGGCAGTCTCACAATCGATGTCCACAGTCCCACATCGAAATTCTAAACAAAATGCACACCTCCCAAGGCCCATAAAGGAGGACAACCATCCCAGCTTGGAGGTAATCAATCAGAACTAACGGCATACTGCCTATTGATCTGTAGTTCAAACTTACTAAATCCATACTTACTTAGGCATGGGAGAACCTTCGGCCGGTATCACACTGGTACCTAGGACTTACCGAGCGTTTGCTATCTTACAGGTATAACTTACTACCGAAGCCATAGCATACCGAAGGTAACGAAATCACTAAGTTACGCGGGAAAGTACAGAACCATTTTTCTGCGTCAACAGTTTGGCGCCGTCTGTGGGAATCGATAATAATCAACCTACAATTCCTCAAAAACATAATGGGAACCACTTCAGGACCACAGTTCCTATCGGAGGATGGATTACCGTACGGTATGCCAAGTAGAGCAAGCCCCGCGCTGCACCCTAGCACCCCTTTCGGTAATCCCCCAGTGCTTCAGACCACGGTTGAAGCGGAGCTTCTGGCTCAGATGACCTCCCTTCGGAAGGAAATGGCTAAGCTCCAAGAACATAACAATCTCCTCTCGTCCAAAGTAGACGAAACACAGCGACTGCTTAACCAGCAGGAAACACAGAGCGTTCAGGCCGCCAAATCTTCCCAGAGTCTGCAGACCCCCGGTCGGCAGAGGAAGGGAAAGAAGGGGGCAAGGGCAACGCCTGCGCCTTCCAAACAGTTGGTGGTCCCAACTCCACAGGACCAGCCTCACGTGCCGAAGAAGGTGTACACCGATTGTCGTCATCGGATCAACGACAAGAAGGATGCCGAACGACATAGGTCCCCGATTCGGATTAATGCCCGCCTGCGGGACTCCCGGATGAAGGTCCTAGGAGATAAATCGCCCCTTCGGAAAGTCCATGGTTTGGATTCGGGAATGGAATCCGACGATGAGTACGTCCCCACCAGGGGTATCGAATCAAACTACCGTTCGGAAATTCCCTCGGAGTATTCGAAGGCAAAACCACCAAGTCCGAGGAGAACTTCCGAAGACTTCAGTTTGTGGTCCTGAACAGGATTTTCCCGACCGATGGGTAAAAATCGGCACTAGCCTAGATCCTGAACTCCGAAGACAGTTCATTGACTTCTTACGGCAACAGGCGGAGGTCTTCGCCTGGTCTTACGACGATATGCCCGGCATATCACCTGATGTCATCAGCCACAAGCTCAGCATCTCCACCGCCCACAAACCGGTCAGACAGAAGCGCCGCTCATATGATGCCGAACGGTACGAGGCGATGCGTGCTGAAGTTGACAAGCTCAAAGCCATCGGCTTTATCAGGGAAGCTACGTACCCTGTCTGGCTTGCCAACTCAGTCATGGTTCGGAAGGCCAAAGGAGGATGGCCGGATGTGTCAGGATTACACCGACCTGAACAAGGCTTGTCCGAAGGACAGTTTCCCCTTGTCGAGAATCGACCAGCTCGTCGACGCTACCGCTGGACACGAGCTGCTAAGCTTCATGGACGCCTACTCAGGATACAACCAGATCTTTATGGACCCTGCTGATCGAGAGCATACGGCATTCATCACCGACCGCAGTTTGTACTGTTACAACGTCATGCCCTTCGGCTTGAAAAACGCGGGAGCAACTTACCAGCGGCTCGTCAACCGGATTTTTGCCAAGCACATCGGCGGCATCATGGAGGTGTATGTTGACGACATGTTGGTAAAAAGCCGAACGGCAGGGGGGCATCTGGAAAACTTGGCCCTTATGTTCGGTATACTGAAGGACTACCGAATGAGGCTGAACCCAACAAAGTGCGCTTTCGGTGTATCTTCCGGTAAATTTCTCAGATTCATGATCAGCCAAAGGGGAATCGAGGCTAATCCAGAGAAAATCAAAGCCATAATAGACATGGAAACGCCGAAGACACAGAAGGACATTCAAAGCCTTACCGGACGTGTCGCCGCCCTAACACGCTTCATCTCTAAGGCCACCGACAAGTGCGTGCCGTTCTTCAAAGCTTTGAAAGGGGGCAAACATCACATCGCGTGGACTCCCGAATGCGACCAGGCATTTCAAAACTTGAAAAACTACATGAGCCAGGCACCGCTGTTATCAAAACCGCTCCCAGGAGAAGTGCTACTCCTATACCTTTCGGTATCAAACACTGCCGTTAGCTCGGTACTAATACGGAGGCCGGAAAGAGCAGAGCTACCGATTTTCTATGTCAGCAAGGCACTCCAAAGCGCGGAGCTTCGGTACTCACCCTTAGAGCAGTTAGCACTGGCCCTGGTCGTCTCGGCACGAAGGCTTCGCCCATACTTCCAGGCTCACGAGATCACTGTTCTAACAAACCAGCCCATTCGGCAGGTACTCCAAAAACCAGAAACGTCGGGCCGATTGGTCAAATGGCCAATTGAGTTGGGGGAGTTTGACATACAGTTCAAGCCAAGGCCTGCATAAAAAGGTCAGGCCGTCGCCGACTTCATTTCCGAGCTCACACATGCGCTATCGGAAACGCCCTTTCCGAGCGCTATCCCCACTGCGCCAGAGAGAAAGGACGCCGAGCGCTTCGACACTTCCGTTCCTCTCTGGATTCTGCATGTAGACGGCTCGGCAAACCAGCAAGGCTGCGGTGCCGGCTTGGTATTAACAACTCCGGACGGTGGCAAAATTGAGTATGCCCTCCGATTCAACTTCCAGACATCCAATAACGAGGCGGAATATGAGGCTCTCTTGGCCGGCCTTCGGCTGGCCAAAAGCATGAGCGCGAAACAGATCAGCATTCACAGTGGTCCCAGCTCATAGTGAATCAAATAACGGCAGACTTCGCGGCGAAGGATGCCTCTATGTCAGCTTACCTATTGGCAGCTCACCAACTACTGAAAAAATTTCAGGCCTACGAAATACGGCAGATCCCCAGGTCAGAAAACAGCCACACCGATGCGCTCTCGCGTCTGGCTTCGGCAATAAATGACAAGATCGGAAGGAAAGTACCGGTGAAGATATTATCCCAACCAAGCACGACAGCCGTTGAGGTGTGTACCGTTCGGTACGAGGGTACATGAATGTCTCCAATCTATGCTTTCCTGACAAACGGAACCCTTCCTACCGATAAGTCCCAGGCCAGGAAACTCCGTTACCGATCGGCAAGATACACGGTCATCAACGATGTTCTGTACAAGCGAGGCTACACGACGCCGTATCTAAAGTGCCTAACCAAGGAACAGGGGGACTACATCCTTCGGGAGGTCCACAGCGGAGTCTGCGGTGATCATTCGGGATCCCGATTACTCGCACATAAGGTCTTCCGATAGGGATATTTCTGGCCGACTCTGCACCGAGATGCAAGCATGTTAGTCAGGAAGTGTGACAAATGCCAACGGTTCGGCAGTGTCCCCCATGTCCCTGCCAAACCACTTTCACCGATCGTAAGCTCATGGCCATTCGCCCAATGGGGGTTAGATTTAATTGGTCCGATGCCGGAAGGCAAAGGTCAGGTCAAATATGCTGTGGTTGCCGTGGACTACTTCACCAAATGGGTAGAAGCCAAAGCCTTAGCAACGATAACGGTAGCCAGAATTGAGGATTTCGTATGGACGAACATTTGTTGCCGATTCGGAATCCCCTACGCCATCGTCACGGATAACGGCAGGCAGTTCGATTCGGAAGTCTTCAGGGAGTTCTACGTCCGACTCAAGATCAATCTGTTCTTTGCTTCGCCAGCTCACCCCCCATCGAACAGCCAAGTCGAGGCAATGAATAAAATTGTCAAGAAGCTATTGAAACGGCAACTCGATAAAGCCAAGGGAGCCTGGCCGGAAAAACTCCGAAAAGCGTTATGGGCCATCCGGACATCCTACCGAACGGCAACTTGTGAAACACCGTTCTCCATGGCTTTCGGCTCGGAAGCGGTAGTCCCAGTGGAAATCGGAGAGCCTTCCTACCGAACAGAAGCTTTCACACCAGAGGCAAATGAGGAGGCGCTCGCCTTAAGCCTCGACTTGCTCGAAGAACGCCTAGCACAAGCCAACCTTCGGAACGAGGCTTACAAACAACGCGTCTCTCGGTACTATGACTCCAGGGTCAGATCCCGCTCTTTCAGAATCGGAGACTGGGTCATGCGAAAAGTCTCGCTGGCAACCAAGAATCCTACGGAAGGAACCCTCGGACCATCCTGGGAGGGACCATACGAAATCATCGGTATCCAGCAATCGGTATCCAGCAATCGGGGACCATACGAAATCATCGGTATCCAACGAAAAGACCCTCGGTCATCCTTGGAATGTGGAGCATTTGAAATATTATTTTAAATGAAGTCACCTAACCTACGGTAGGATTGCAATAGGGTCCCATAAGCCCTCGGCCTCTCTGTATTCACGGCCTTCGGCAGTGTAGCGTTCCCTAGCCTACGGCAGGGTTTTAAATTGTAAAACGCACTCCATATTGTATCTTTGCCTTCGGCAGTTTATCAATGAAAAGGGCCCTCGGGCCATATATTCAAAACCTTTGTTGTACCCTTTAAGCTCTTTTCGTTTTCTAAAAGGATACGGTAGAGACCCTCGGTCGCATTAAAACTACGCAACTTGACATTAGCCTACCGACTAAAGGACAACATTAGCTCTGAGAATCAAGTTTGCGCTTTGATTAGCCTTCGGCATTCTTAGCCTTCGCTTAGCCTTCGGCAAGCATGACCGTTGTTCTCCAACTTCTATCTAGCCCTCGGCGTTTTTGAAGGGATTTTCCTAAGTGTTTTACAGATTGCAAATCAACTTGAATTAACTTGGGCCCTCAAAATTCGAAAATAAAATATATAAAAAAATGATGAAACTTTCGATTAAGAAGATGCCTACGGCATCAAGGGTACATCAAGGTTACATTAAGAAGATGCCCACAGCATCGAGAGTACATCAAGGTTACATTAAGAAGATGCCCACGACATCAAGATTACATCGAAATTACATTAAAAATGCCCTCGGCGTTAAATTACATAAGAGAGGAGCGGGACTAGAGAAGAAGCTTCTGGAGAAGATCGTCGCTCTGCCGTTCGAGATAGGACTATACCTTTGAGTATCATTGCAGAGCGTACGAAACTTTCTGTCAGGCGGCTTCGTCGGCTTCGGCGGCGGCTTCGTCGACTTCGGCGGCGTCCACATCGCCTTCGGTAGTACCCCTTTCGGGATCGGCTGGCACCTCCTCTGTGGCGTCCTCCCCCTTGTACTCCTCAATCATTTCTTCGGTTATGCCTTCAGGAAGGGGGGGAGGATCGGCAATGAAGTTGAGGTTGAGCTTCTTACCAGGGTTGTACCGTTTGAAACGGTAGACCAAGTCCGCCATCTCCAGGCCTACTTCCTTGTCGAGCAAAGTAGAAAACTCAGTTGACCGACGGTACCGCCCTATCGCCTCTTGGACGGCAGCCTCGATCTCGGAAGCCCTGACCCGCTCGGACTCCTCAAAGGCCACCTGGATCGCCTTCTTCGATTCCCGAGCCTCCTTTGCCAATAGCTGCGCCGACTCCAACGCTGCCGACAGCTCACCGAGCTTGGCTTGATAAGCTTTGACCTGCCGTTCGGTAGCCTGCATGTCCTTCGCCAAGTTCGCCTGAGCTTGGATGGCTTTGCCAGCTTCGGCAACCTTCGCTCTGCCGTCTTCATATGCCTTCTTCGCCTTTTCGGCGGCATTAATGGCTCGCTTGACGCACAGGAAAACGTTAGACAAAAATGAAACCAGACGGCAAGAAATTGCTAAAAACGGTAAGAACTTACCGAAGCTTGAAGACGGAAGGTGCGGCCAGCCTCCTCCCGAAGGAGTTTCTTCGGAAGGTCCTCGATCTCGGACAGCTCCATTTGTGAACCGAGGATCATGTGGTTCACTGGACTGTCTTCGAAGGATAGGCAAAGGTGACAGCTTCGGAAGGCGCCTCGTCGTCCTCGGCAGAGAAGATGGCCCGAACAGGCTCAGCTTGTCGCCCGTATTTAGGAGCGGGGTCGGCATCAAGGTCTACCGTGACCGGCCTTTTGCCGGCAGCCTTAGAAGAGGTACCCTCGGCAGGTATACCTCGGCTGGGAGACGGACCAGCAGCGGCCGCTTCGGCATGCGCCGATTCGGCGTTCATCTGACGACAGCGCTCGTTGAGGGTTACGTTGTCAGGGTCCACCCCTCCCGAAGGCGCCGGTGTCGTTCTGGCCTGCCGCCCCTTTTTCTTGCCTTGCATGCCGAGCATGAGGTGCCTCTTTGAGGACTCGTTCATCCTCTTTGCTTCGGCAGTCCTCCTTTCCTCGGTCACTGCAAGACGGAACCAGTCAGATTTCTCATTTACGCTATAAACTATCGAAATGGTGAAGTATGCTTACTCTCGGCAGGGCTGACGAGCTGAGCTTTGATGAGGTTGGTGGTGAAGAGAAACTTCGGATAGACCCTCTCCACGGCAGGGACATTCAGCCTCACCCTCTCGATCTGCCGGATCTCCGATTGAGTAGCGCTTGGCTGCTTCAGTTTACCTGTACAAAGGAAACGGAATTAATATTACTGAAGGATGACACAACCAAAGAGTCCTACCGAACGGTAGGATGGCCTACCGGCGATTTGGAACGTTGTGGGAATGTAGAAACGGACAGAGTGTCCCGAGGGAGACTCCCAGTCACCGGACAAAAGCACCCGTTGTTTCCTCCACGTCTTCTGGGAGGTCGGTATGGCATTGACAAAATGGCCACGCTCGGTAGCCTTCAAGCAGTTAGCTTGAACCCAGCCCCCATGATCGGCAGACTTCGACTTCGTGATGCTGTACAGATGGGAGAATTGCTCGTACGAAGGCTCTCCCTCGCCAGCCATACCCAAGGCAGTGATCACACCCATTAACGCTACCCAGAAGTTGGGATTGAACTGGCCGGGAGCATAGCCTATCTGCGCCAGGATCCTCTGAACGGCGGGCTGCAGAGGGAGCCTCACCCCTTGCAGAAGTACGTCCATGAAGAAGACAACTTCGCCATCTTTCGGACTGCTTAGAGATTCGGTAGGACCTGGGATCCTCATGCCTACCGAATCTGGGATAAGGTACTCAGCCCGAAACCTCGCAATCTCCGTCTCGGTGATCCTGTTAGGCTCCAGGTAATCTACACCGAAGACTAGCTCCTTTGGAACAGCCATCGGCACCCTAGGGTTGCTGGGGAAGACTACCGAAACCCTCGGCCGGGGAGATGGTTCGGCAGCTGGCTCTCCGCGACCAGAAGTGGAGGCCTCTGACTGGCGACTGGTGCTCGCCTCCCCAGGGGCGCCCAGACCCACATGGCGGCCGTCGCTATAGATAATAGACAACGGCACCGGGGCGGTCATTAGCCCCTTTCCGATGCCATGTGTCGAGCCAGAGCTGGGCCCTTCGCTGAGTATTTCGACATCGGTATCACTCCCATCCTCGGCATCAGGCCCTGCCGCTTCAACATCGGAGTCAAAGAGACCGTCCGATGACTCCTCATCGAACCCGTTGGGCTCACGCTCGGAGAATGACTCGCTATCGGACATCTACAAAAACAGGGAAGAAAGGAAACTAAGGCTCATACCGGATGCTATCCTACCGATCCCTACATCACTACCTATGGCGACTAGACTACCAAACGGAACCCTATGGTCAGTCTAGTTCAAACCAAGGAAGGACGTAACTCTTAAGGTATGCAAAGGGAAAAAGGAGATACCGAACGGTACCTTAGTTTAGCTTCTGGAAAATGAGCGCAAACTGTGCTTCAGATAGTCTAGACACAAATCGCCCTTCCTACCGTTTGTGGTGCCGGAAATCGCCTGGTTGCCGTTCGCGAACGTCGAAAATCGCCTTGAATACCGGAAGCTATCGTTGGAAATCGCCTCAGCAGAGCTCTCGCTTTTCACTAAGTGCAAAGTGAGTCTCCTCCCAGGGTCACTCCTATTTATAGGACGAGGGTCCGCAACGGTACACCTCGAGAAACCAAACAGTGCATTAATGCGCCGCGCGCCATCATTGCTTCCGCCACGTGTCGCTCATCCTATGGGGAACTGACGGCACGCGAGGCGCGGAAGTCGAAGCGCTCAGACGTCCCTTCGCCTGTCTCCTCGACGTGACCTTCTGACTACCCAAACATCAGCTTCTGAACGGGCATGAACGAAAGGCTCAGAGTTGAGCCCTTCCATTAAATGGGTCTACCGAACGGTAGGGAAAACGTTCTCTTCGGAGGGCAACTTCAAATCCCCTTCCGAGCATTCTCGCAAGAGGACTTGTGGGACTCCTGTTTATACCATAATAAGCAGCCAATAAACATTTGACACGTGGACCAAGCTGGAGCTATGGGAGCCTTCGGCATCTAGCTTCGGCATCTTATCTACCGATCGCTCTATTAGGGCAACCTTGGCATCTTGGACACGTGACAGTCTCACAATCGATGTCCACAGTCCCACATCGAAATTCTAAACAAAATGCACACCTCCCAAGGCCTATAAAGGAGGACAACCATCCCAGCTTGGAGGTAATCAATCAGAACTAACGGCATACTGCCTATTGATCTGTAGTTCAAACTTACTAAATCCATACTTACTTAGGCATCGGAGAGCCTTTGGCCGGTATCTCACCGGTACCTAGGACTTACTGAGCGTTTGCTATCTTAACAGATACTAACTTACTACCAAAGTCATAGCATACCGAAGGTAATGAAATCACTAAGTTACGCGGAACGAAAACCTTTTTTTTTTTTTTCCCAACATAAATAAATATCTCAAAACAAAATTAAATAATTTTAAAAAAAAAAAAAAAAAAAAAAAAAAAAAAAAAAAAAACACACAGGCGTTGAAGCACGTGGAGAGAGGCTAGTGAATATTTAAATTAAAAATAACCTAACAAAAAGTAGTAAAAAATACTGTAGATCAACTCATGTGCCAATATTAAGATATACAGTCCCGTTCTCTTGGACCCCAAGGGACTTATGGTCACCCACCCTTAGATTTAATCCAAGGGTTGAGAAAAATTTACTTTAAAATATCTTTTTTCTTTTACCTTTTAAATTTCACTTAACAAAAAAGGAAAAAACTAAAAACTAAAACCCAAAATCTGTTCTTCTGCCTCCCGCTGCCTCCGCGTTCTGCTTCCTCCCATCGCTGCAGCCACAACAACTCCGACTCTGGCGTAGCGAGCGAAAATCCGGAGCACTCATTCCCTCACACTTCAACAAGGTCAGTTTCTTGTTCTTCAAAAGTTTTTCACTCAATTTTTTTATTTGAAATCATGAAACCATATATGGGAATTTTAATTGGGTTTCTGTTATTTTTTATTTTGGAAGTTTTGTAACTGTTCCTTGTACGCCTAGAATTTCAATTGGGTTTGTGTTATTTTTTATTTCAGAACTACTAGAACAAACATGAATCTCAATCTAGGGTTCTTCCATTCGAGTTTTTCCTTTGTCAAACGTGAATCTCAATATGGGGTTCTTGCAACTATCAGTTTGTTACTGATTGTGAAAATCTGTTTTTTTTTCTTTTTCTAGACCTTTATTTATTTATTTCTTCCATTCGAGTTTTTTCTTTGTTTATTACATATGTTTGCACTAATTTTCTTATTATACATTTGTAGGGGTTTTTTGTTCCAGCAGCCTGACGAATGGGCTTGGGCTGCTGTAAGAAAACGAAGAACAAAATCCTCCAAATGCTTGAGTTCGAAACCAAGCTCCCAAAAGGGTTTTTAGAAAATCTGATAGATTTTAAAAGAACACTCTTAGGATCACTTTACTAACACCCAAATAAGCATGATAAATTCACTAATGGCTTAGCCTGAGGAGCTTGTGGCATGGGAGCTAAGCTTTCACAAGTTTAGCAATTTGAGAGAGAGAGAGAGAGAGAGAGAGAGGCATGAGTTCCTTATAGAGAAAAGAAGCCCGAAGTGAACAGGGGAATATTAGCCCGACTTCTATACTAAGGGGAAGAAGAAGAACGAACGAAAGAGGGAATTAGGTGCCTTGAGCGAATTCTCAGATGCTTGACAAAGCTTGGTCAGGCTATCAATGGTTGGTTTTTCTGGGTAGCAAAAGCCTCCTTTTATAGGCGTTAAGAGCCCTAATTTTGTCTAGTCTTCCTCTTCCTTTTCCCTTGGCAGCTCCCTACTTAGTCCTATTTTGGTGCAATTCTCTTATCAAGGCATATGGGAAAGGAATCATTGTGGTTCCAACGATTTTGACGCAGCTGGACCTCCCCACAAGGGTGAGGCGCCACTTTGCTTTTTCTTAACGTTTTCAAAACAGAGCTTGTAATGGGGAAAGAGATGGGTGGAGCTTTTTGTCCAATGTGTATTTGCCCTTTAACCATGAATTTCTGCTGGTTCTTGCCTTGGCCCTTTGTCTGACTTGTTTGGAGTCTTATTAGAGGTGGAACACGATGACAGCTTTTCTACAAGTTGCTGGACTGGGCTTGTGCGTAACGTTGGGTTGCTGGCCTATTATTTCTAGTGGATTTTCGTCAAACTGCTGGAAAGGGCTTTTGCTAATTTCTTTGGGGCACTCTATTGATGTGGGTTAGGCTAAGTATTTTGGTGGGTTACTTGGTGTCTTCCTAGAGCATGGGGCAATTTTCTCTTCTCTCTCATGCTAACCCATGTGCTTGGGTTCTAGGAACGGGCTTGAGTTTTAAAGCCCCCAAGTGGCTTAAAAACTTGTGTCCCTTGAACCCTCAATGGACCCTGTGATTGCTCGTTTCCTTCCATACCACAACCTTCTCAGTAAGCCCCGGTTAATTTTGTGGCTTGGGCCCACTTAAGCTCGTGGCATAGCTTGGTGTTAGAATAGTGGCTCTTCGTGCATGATATCTATGCTCATGCTTAGAGTTTTATTATGCCGTGATAGGCTATAATTGGGCCAAGTAGCACCGAATGAGCATGTGAGCATGATTTAGTAATGTCGGTATGTTCTTGGCCCCTTCTGCACGTGCTTGCTTGGCATGATTCGTGGCTTGTAGCTTGTGTTGGCAGCTCTTATAAATTTTCTTTTATCCCGATTGAGCCTATTTTGCATCCAATCACCTGTGTTGGGCCAAAGATTAATTTGGGTTTAGCCCCTTGGGTTTTTGGGCCTCAACATTAGCCCCCTTGATTATTGGGGCCATGAGCAGCTTTGAGATGGGTCAAATAATCAAACCCGGCCCAAAAGCAAAATCAAATCCATGCTGCTGATGTGACCTTCTCGTTTCCCGTGTGTGTGCTGCCATGATTATTTTCCAGCGGTCTCTTGTATTCCCCAAGTACGCTTCCATCAAATCTATTTTATTTTATTTTTTTCTTTTATTTTCCTTTTCATTCTCTAACTTCTTTCCTCTGTGCGTGCAAGAGGCCAAGCCACCTGCCTCTTTTCTTCAGTTATCGTTGCCTTCCTTTCACACACAACCCAAACCCTGAAAAGTGAGAAGTCGCAAGGAGGCAACCTCCATAACCGCTGGTTGGTTATGCTGGGAGAAACCGCTTGCAACTTCTGGGAAAAGCCACGATTCCTCTTTAAAATCCCTCAAATTTCTTCACTTCGTTCCTCAATCCGTCCGAAACCAAGCTTGGCGAAGTCACCTTGCGAAGAGTGAGGTAATTTCATCGGTGGAGTCGCAAGGCAGTCCCTTCCTCTTTCGACTTTGGCAAGCTGCTGGAAGAATTCCATCGAGAGCAAATTTGCATGCATCGTTCCCCTATTTCTTCTCCTATTTACTTCATCTCGTTACTCTGGGCACATGCATCTATACATATACATACATACATACGCATATATGTACATGTGGAGGCACTTTTTATATTCTGAGAATTCCTCATGAACATGACGCTTTTCTCAATCTGGGTTTTATCTAATTTCTCAAGCCCTAAGCTCGAATTTCGGGCATGGACCACTGATTTGGGATTTTAAGCGCGCTTGAGGTGATATCTTGCCTTGATTAATCACAAAACCTCTAGATGGTGTCGAAGCATGATGGAAAGAACAGGAACATGCACTATGTAAACCAGCCACTCCATGGCTTTCTTCGCATAATTTACCCCTGTGGCTTGTTTTTCTTTTTTTTTCTTTTTTTTTTTAGCATCAGACGATCTTTTTCCCCTCTCATAGGACAAATTTGCATGATGATATTAAATCGGTTTTTCTTCTTCTTTCTTGACATGGTCCTGGCATGATATTACAGAGATGTGCTTGCGTTCAACATTTGTGAAGGTGCTGGAACTTATGCATTTTGTTCTTTCTTCCCTTTTGCAGGTGTCTGTGACTTAGTGGACCTACCATGGCATCTACTGACCTTCCACCGATTATGCTAGACCACCTCTACTCCATGGATGATAATCTTAAGGCAGGAGGGTCACTTCTGTTGCTTGAAGATGCCCGTGAGAATCTCGTTGTCAGTGATAAGCCATCCCCTGAGACCGCTCCTGTAATTAGTCCTGCCTCCATATCCAGATGCTGCATTGAAAAGGGCCTCTTTCCAGCCGTTCCCCTATTCTTCCAATATCCTTGCAGCATCAGTAAGGGTTGGTCAGAATGGGTCGACCATGAGCTGCGGGATCCATCCACATGCAACATCCTGCGCAGAGCATAGGTCCTTGATGCCATCTTCCTTTCCAAATTGTGGGACATCCACATCGAAGCGAAGATGCTTCGTCACGTGGTCCGGAGGTGGAGCGCTGCTACTCACACCTTTGTGTGCTCATGGGGGGAATTTACCCCTACCCTTGAAGACGTGGCGAATATCTCTCGCCTTCCTGTCTGTGGCGACCATAGTCCTTTCGGCATTGCCCTCACTCCTGAAGAAATGGACAAGCTTGCAGTCTTGCAAAGAGGCGCTCCCACTTCTCCCAGCACTTCACTTCGGTTCAGTAACTGGATACAATATTTTGGGGATGCAAACAGACAGGGTCCCTACTGGTTGGCTGCATTTATAGCTCTGTGGCTTGGGCGGTTCGTGCTCTGTGACTTTTCTCAGGACTGCCTGCACGAGCGTGTATTTCCCTTGGCTTTGGCCATAGCCCGAGGCGACACCATCCCCTTAGCCCCCATGTTCCTGGGACATCTATACCATCTACTTGATCAAGAATGCATCAGGAACCATGGGCGTGGAGACCCTTCTAAATTCTGGTTTCTTGCAGGTGTTCTTGTGGGAGTGTCTCAAAGGATTGGATGTGTATTCACTCCCCTATTCGCACGCTATGTTGAACGTTGCTCCCATCCCCTTACCTATTCTTGGGGATAATCGCGCAAAGATTTCCGTGACCTACTCTCCACACCGAGTCAGGCGGCAGTTCGGGCTTGACCAAGGGGTTCCCAGTAGTCCCAACCATGGTGACCCCTTTGCACTACACAGGATCTTCTTGAGCAATGACCACATATCAGCCAGTTGCAGGCCCATCGTTTTAGCGAGCAAGGTGAGGGTTGGTGGCTTCTCCAGAGGCTACCAAGCTTACTAGAACTGTTGTCTCACTTCCTTCCGTGAGTTCCAATCCTCTCCCGGGGACAGATTGCCTCCAACAACAGCCCGCATTGCAGGTTTGGTGTCAGAAGATCTAAGCAAAAAGCGCAATTTTCCCTTTATTTCCAAGTCAGGTGACGTCGTCGGAGAATTTCGCAAGACAAGTTCAAAGCCAAGGACGCAGAGTCCCCATAGCTCTGGAAAAAATGTGACACCAGCGTCCGACAGCCAGAAGCGGGAAATGAAGCATAGTGTAGGGAATGAGCCGAGTACCGGTAAACCTAGGAGGTTCATCCCAAAGGTAGCACCAAGTGGCCCCCCTCGGACTAAAGAAGCAACTCCCCCTGAACGTCCACAGCCTTCGAAGCCTGTTGTATCTGAGAGCCCAAGTCGTACTGGCAAGGCGCTGGAAACTTCACCTTTTCGCTGTAAGTATCCCCAATTTCCAATACTTCTCTGTGCCTTCTTTACTTGTTATGAGTGTATGATATTTAGGTACATACTTATTTATTATATATATATATATATTTTTATATAGGGAAAATGGGTACAACCCCAAAGAGAAAGAGAAGTGACACACCCCCGGTATCTCCTCAGGTGACCCCTAAACGTCGTAGCATGCGCATTCTACACGCAAGATCTACTGGAACAAGCACCAGTAACGTTGAGGCCGCCGAAACCCCAACTGTGGTGACAGTTGACGATGATAGTGATGATGGCGACACCACTGAATTCGAGGCTGATGTTCTAGAGCAAGAGAACGTTGATGACATTGGCGACATGCGTGAAGATTTTGACAGGGACTACAATGATGATTGTAATGAGGATGCATTTGCTTATTCCAGCGACTATCCAGGAGGACAATGTGGTTTAGATGCTTTCCTTGGGTCCGCTGGTAGCAGTACGCGCCATTTTAGCGCTGAGCTAGTAACTGACGCATTTTAAGTTCTGTCCTCCTTTCCTTCTTTACACCATAATCTGTTCACTCGACGCGTGCTCATCTTGTGGGTTACTGACATTGCTGAGGGCTCAAACCTTGCTGCAGCCATTGCTGACCCTGCCTGGAGTCCCCCTGAGGTATCCGTGCCGATAATATTCCAATTACCTTCTTCTCCTACTCATCTGCCAATGCCCATCACCTGCCAATTATCTTGTACTGATCCTTGCATGCACACTTTTTTTTTCTTTTGCAGGCTGAGCATGCCGCTTCGAACTTGGAAATTGTGCCTGTAGTGCCTTCTCCCTTCAACACATTCAATACACTGGTTGAGGCAGCCCTTGCAGGATCTTCTCCAACCATGACACCAACGAATTCTCAGGATGAAACGCCTACGTTCCAAGTCACGAGTCCCTTACCACCTATCTTCCGGCATTTTCTCCAGAGGGACCTTGACCCTACTATTTCGCCAACCCTTCCAGCAGCCCTCCGGAGCAACACTTTTGCCGTCCACGAGACCCTGCCCGTTCCATCCCATATTCAACCACATCTCCGGGCGTCAGGGCCTAGTCCCTTAGCACTTCTTCCAGCAGTTCAACCTGACAACGCGAGCGCTGCTGAAAACGCCCAGGCTATCATTACCGTTGCCGGGAATGCTGCTGCAAAACATCCTCCTAACATATCTTGGCTGGAGCGGGAGGAATCATTTACTGCATTCATGGCCTTCTTTGACAGTGGTGCTCAGGTCCTTCGATCTGCAGATGAACTCCTGCCGCTCTGTCATCGGTTCAATGGTTACGCACCCTTCTGGGGAATTCTTTTTTATCCCGAGACGATCGCGGCTTTGGAGAAATTTCTAGACAAGTACGGGGATTTCATGGACATGACTAGTATTACTTCTTCCTTCTCGCGATGTGCTGCTTTCCGAACCCTCGGCTTGGTGCAGCTGCTGGACATCACTGATCACAGGCTCCTTTGCTGGCGGGATGCAGTTTGTGAGGCTATGACTCTGGGCTTTCGAGCAGAGTCTCTTCTGAACCTGGTGAAGGATTTGGCACGTGCCGTATTTGGGGCACGGGTTGTTCATAACATGAAGTCAAATCCCGGCCCTAATGAAATAAGGGTAGCGGCAGAGGCTTTGGTCTTCAAGCAACATGAGCTGGAAAAGCAGCATAGGGAATTGCGTGGCCTCCTTTCGGCCCAAGGTGTCTCCCCTGACAGTGCTGACTGCATGACGGAAGCAGTGACATGATCTTCTCACAGGGCCTCCTCCGTTCTTTTCTAGCCATCCTTGATGGTACTTTGAGGTTCGTGACTTCTCGTCCCTCCTTCATTCTACATATGTTCAATGTTACCCTAATTTCTCCTGACATTCTTCTTCGTTCTGTTTTGCAGGTTTCATTTTGCTTGGTGTAGGATTGACTAGCTTGACACATTCTAGAGTTTCGTTCGAGATTGAAGCACACATTACTTCTTAGCTTGTATAGTTTGATTTGACTTATGTTGTAGAACTTGTACTGTGGCAGCTTGGCATTGTAATGCTATTGTGTTCTAGCTGCTGGAACCTATGTCCCTTTTTATTTTTTGCCAGAAACACATTGTAACTTTTGTTTAACATGTATAAAATGCCTGGTTGGTGGAAGCCTTTGCTTGAGTGTTTTTTTGAAATATCCGCCGTATATTTATATGTTATTGTAAATGTATGTTTGAAAAGGAATTCTGGGTACGAAAAGGGCAAACTTCCAGAGACAATTTTTTTTTCTTCAAAATACTCCTTCATTTTCATTTCAAACCCCACGCTACCATGACGATACAAAAGCTTTTCAAAACGAAAGCAAGCATATAGAAGGAGACAACATTTTTTAGATAAAAGGTAATGCGATAACATGAAAATAAGATACTATGCCTACTTAGCAGTAGTAGGGCTTGAGCCATTTTCCATTGATGGGATCAGTTAGCATGCCTTCTTTGACAGAGATCAAGCGATAATAACCGCTGATGTGTACCTCCTTGACTGCGAATGGACCCTCCCATTGTGGGGCAAACTTGGAAGGTCCCGACACTTGCCTTCTTACATGTTCAACGACTTTTAGCACGAGATCTCCTTGCTTGAAGGCTTGAGCGTTAACGGTCATGTTATATGCTTGGGCAATAGTCTTGTGGTAGAGTGCCATCATTCTTTCTGCTTCCATCCTTCTCTCATCAACCGCTTCAAGATCTAGCAAACGCCAATCTGAACATGTCTTCGCATCCCATTCAAGATCATTGACAGCTACTATCCTGGCTGTCGGGATGGTGATTTCCACGGGTGAAATAGCCTCAGACCCGTACACAAGCGAGTAAGGTGAAAAACCTATAGCGCTCCTTGGTGAGGTGCGGTAAGCCCACAAAGCATCTGAACGCTCCAGCCTCCTTGATACTCATATACCATCTTGCTTAAAATCCTCAGTATCGTCTTATTGGTAGCCTCCGCTTGACCGTTTCCCTGTGGGTAATAAGGCGTAGAGCGACGATGTTTGATACCGTACCTACTAAGGGTTGAACTCACTTGCTTGTTAACAAAAGGCGTGCCATTGTCGGTGACCATCTTGTATGGGATTCCGAATCTGCACACAATGTATTCCCGAATGAAGTTCGAGACAGCAGCTCCAGTGGCATTCCGAAGGGGAATTGCCTCGACCTATTTTGTGAAATATTCCGTAGCGGTAAGGATCCATATGTAGCCATCGGAAGGGGGATGGATTGCCCCAATTAAATCAAGCCCCCAAGTATGGAAAGGCCAGGGAGTGCGCATGTCTTGTAGCAATGTAGGAGGTTTGTGACTTAAATTAGCATGTGTTTGTGCTTAATAAATCACGATCATAAACTGACCGAAGGGACCTCTTCTCGGCCCTAGCACCTACTCATGAACTGAAACGGCCACGTTTCGTTAGACATTTCGCCTTCCTGAAAACAAAAGAAAAGCTGCGAAGGCAGAATCCTCTCGGTCTCGCGACCGTGGTATTATAGGCCAAAGTCGAAGGCCGTAAGAGACACGGCCAAAGATACTGTGATTAAATCGCCACGTGGCCTCAGGGTCCCATGCCCCATTTAATGAAGTAATGCCTCTGACTATCGCAGCAAACTCACTAGTCGCAAGAAGCATTTAATGCACGAGGGAAGAAGGGAAGTGACTGAAGTCAGGATTTGGTAATGGAAGTCAGAGTGGTTAGGCGCAAACATTCTCACAAGTATTCTTACAACGTGAGGTCAGATCACCAACCACCAGACCAGGGCATTAAATGCGTTCCCACGGCCAAGGGGGCAGAACCCACAATCAGGGCGGTGGCCGAGATTTACCAGGATTTATGGGGGTCACACCACCATGCTTCGCGATCCCAAATGCCGATTTGACTACCCACTTGCTTCGATCAGACTCCACCACGCAAATCTTTTCAGCCTCGATTGTCCCTCCAGGACTCCCCCTATAAATACTAAGCTTAAGACTACGTGGTTCAAACACCAAACCAAAAGCCTCCCACAGATCAAATTATATTTTCCTATAATGCACTTTCAATACCTTTATTTGCTTTCCAAGGAGTAGTGGTAGATTGTAAGGAAAATCCATTCATCAATATATCATACGACCTTTGATTTTCAAGGCGCCGGAGCACCATCTATGTTATCATCTCACTCACCCCATATATCATACGACCGTCGCTCTCTGAGCAAAGCGCTGGAGCATCGCCTCAAACCCGCCACCAACACTACCACTAAACGGCCTTATAGCTCAGGCAGTGAACCTGACGGCCGAGATCAGTTCCTCTCTCCGCCACAATCGTTTGATTAGGAGTCGAACTCAAAACAGGCTTATCATTTAACCGTCTTCTACCCAAACCTCATCACCATCTCGACGTAATATAGACCGTGCTAACACGCCCGCACACAACCGTACCGTATCCAAAAGAAGGACGTCACGTGTTAACGCACATCCCCTCGGCCCGGAGCACCAGGCCGTGAGATTTGCGCAGCCAACACTTTTGGCACGCCTGGTGGGACCTTTGTCAAAAACTCATGGTGGAAACTAGGGCACAGGCAAAGCTAAAAAACAAAACAGTCGAAATGACTTCCGAGGCCCCTGAGTCCACCTCACCAATCACTATTACCGAGACCGAACACGCGGTCAGAATCTCGGCTAGCGTTCCAATAACGACGGATCGTGCGGTTGAGTCCATGGAAGAGCAAGCAGTAGTGGAGGGCTTGATGGCTAAGCAGGCCTACAGGATAGTGACATCCTTTATGGCCGCAATGGAGAAACTCTCCTCAGAGCTATGGACGCTCTTTCAGGAGAGGATGCCGGTAACGTCGTCCGCGACGCCTCCCAGACAGATAAGCCAAGAGCGTGAGAGGTTTGAGCCCTACGGCGAAAGCAGCAGCCTCGGCGCTTCTGGCCGCACCCAAGCGTCAGGCTACGGTCAGCATTCTCAGCCAACATGGGTAAATTCTGGACCGACCTGCCCAGCAGAAACAGCGTACGACCTACTCAATGCTTTGGCCGTATCACTGAGGCAAAGCAGCCCCATGCATTCCGTGGTCCAACAACTCGGCCCAGTTCACACTGTGGTAGTCCAGACCCATCCTGGCCCAAGCAACGCGACCGCTGCTTAGTCACAACAGTACAGTCAGAGCAATCTGACCGTTTCACCATTACAGGCGTCGCTATTTCCGCTAGACTCTCACCTTCAGTACGGTTCGGTCATTCCAACAACAACACATACGCACCCCGGTCAAACCTACGACGTTTATCTAATGCCGCCCGGCTCGGTCGCAATGGCCAAGCTCCTTGTTCAAGTGGCCCAACAGATAGAGCCATAGAACGATGCGCAACAGGTCCAGCGGCCACTTCCAACCCAGCTGGAGTCGTCCCCTCAGGATCCTCGGACCGAAGATGTCCAGCGCACGACCAAGGACAGCTTAGCCCAGGGGCGGCCAGGGGTACCAAGTTATACTGAGCCGTACCCACCCGAAAAGCCCAGGACTTGGCGTGACTTGTTCCCTAAGGCTTTCTGGGCACGCCGCACATCAAAACACTCGGCCATGGGCACATCTCCTTATGTCTTGACCTACGGCCATGACATTGATAAACTAATAGAGCTAGAAGTTCGATTTCTTCGAGTTTTCAAGCGACTTAGGCGAAAGACGAAGAACTACGCGCAAACCATGCCCCGGAGTTTAGAAAATTTAGAACAGTCAAGACTTGACGCTTACAATTCGGTGCGAGTTCAAGAAAAAATGGCACTGAGGGCCTACGACAAAAAAGTCAAAAAGAAAAAGAGGGGGAAGTAGGCAAGTGAGCTAAACAAACAGTGCGGCCAATATAAAGCGAACAACATACGTTCAATCATTCAGAGAAGAAGGCCCACGCTTTGTATTTAGATTTAGATATCATTTTTTAAAAAAGAAAAAAGAAGAACGGCCAGTCATGACCGATCAAAACAAAAAATATATGCGTATTTTTGTATGTGTCTATGTGGAAAAAGAAGAAAATGTTTAATTATTACATCCCAAGATCTTTAAACGGCCGCCCACCTAAACCCCATCGCTGAGCATCCCCCAGATTAGGCATGTTATCCTTCTCCAGGCAATGTCCCCACTATCTATATCCGCCTGCCAACTCGCCCGGATCAGCTTCCTCTCGGCCAGTGCCCTCTTTTTCTTGGTCGCCGCCTTGAGGATTTGCCTGGCCGAAGACTTCAGCTCGGTTCCGACCGCGACCGCACCATCCCGGCGATGAAGGATGAGATCTCGACGGGCCTGGAGCTCGGCAATCTGAACCTCGACCTGCGCAAGTTCCTCATTCTCTCTTTCGACAACGAGGTCATTTTCCTTTAAACGGGCCATGGCAGGTTGGACTTGTTCTTTTATCACTAACAGCTCTTGCCCGAGCGAGCACCCCTCGGTAATCCTCATGTTTGCCTTAGCGTATCGACCGATCATCTCCTTGCCCTCGGCCAAGCGAGCCTGTAGCCCATCCAGCTGAGCCGAGTCCAACAACCCAACGCCATGACCGTATCCAGGCAGGACCCGAACTCCATGAATGCCTCGGCGGTGGTCATTTGGTGAACCCCAAAGAATAGGAACTCTCGGAGCCTTTCAATGACGGCCTTGGAATCTTCGTCCAAGGGAGCCGAGGCTGAGCTGCCTCCTTCTTCATGGAGGCTGGCGTATAACTCCTCGAGATCATCGGAAGAGGTGGTCTTCTGAAAATGAAAAAGGAGATTTAAATGGGAAACAACCAACTGGGACATGAGGAATGACAAGGTGAAAATCTAAATACTCACTTCAGCGGCCGACGGCGCTCAAGGAACTTCTGCAACCACAAGCTCGGTCAGGACCGTCAAAGAGACAGGCGGCGGGATCGGCGCGTCAGTAGCTATAGCCTCAACCACTGCAAGCTCAGTCACTACCGTCGAGTCCTGAGACAACGGCGCTGGGGGCATGCTCACAACAACAATCGAGGAGACTAGAAGCAAAAAATTCGGTCAAGAACATGTGGCGCAATTCTAAAAATAGAACAAAGTGTAGTGAAAGCAAACGCTTACCGAGCGGATCACAATGCCGCTTGGACGATGAGGAGTGAACCGCAACGGCTCGACAGACGCGGTAACGGTCAAGGTAGGCATGGCAGAGGCGGCCCGCGTCCGTTCCACGGCAAGGACCTCGTCGTCTGGCATGTCCACGGCGGCCTCCTCAATGGCTGGCACCTCTGCGACTGTTGCCTCGGCATCCAGCATTTCTGCCACCTCGGCAGTGGCCGCCCCCTCAACCGCCACCTCGGCGGCGGCCACCTCCTCGACCAAATTCTCGGCCACTGCCTCGCCCTAAAGAAAGGACCAGATTATCAGAATAGATAAAGAGGGAGAGGACGTGGCCTGAGAAAAAAAGGGTAAAAAGAAATCAAGGAGAAGTACTTACGGTCACGAGAGGGGCTTCACTCATAATCACAGGAGGGACTTCCTCCTCGTCCTCGCCCTCCGAAAGAACAAGGAGGACCCTTTTTCTCGACCGCTCTAACATCGCCGTCTCAACCACAACACTTTCGGCTGGCGCGGCCTCAACCGCTGCAGCCTCAGTACTTGAGGCCTCTTGACCCCTCTTGCGACCCAAGGCTACGCGTACAGAGAGAGAAGCAAAAGAGGTAAGAAGTTAAATAAACAAGGACAAAGGTGGCTCAGAGAGGCCGATAGAAAAACATAAAAGAAAGAAGGCTTACCAACGGCAGCGATCGGTCGAGTCGGCGGGGCGGATGGCACGGTCCTATGCGCCAAAGTTTTTCGCGCCCACACCACAACAGGCGCTCTGGAGGTTGGGGCTGCTGTTGAAGTCACGATCGCTGCTCTAGCCAAAGGAGGGGCCGCCACCCTGGGTACGGCCGCAGCCGGCGTACTCGGTCGAGAAAGCACGGCCAAGGCCTTCTTCCCCTTGCTAGCCTTGGGAAGGAGGGGGTCCCAATCTGTATTCTTCAAAGCGCCCGTCACGGCCTCTTAAACAGGCCGAATGAATCTGGCCGAGATGCACTCCTCGTACAAGACTCTTCCATCCTCGTCATACGCATTACAATGCAATCAAGGCGTCAGAGTGAGGAAGGTCATCCCCTTTTGAAGTTGGAAGGAAATGCCAGCCACGCCATGCTGCTGGGCGACGTCGGCCCTCCAAGATGAGAGCCGGTTGGTTGACAACGGGGGAAGCGGTGCCATCTGGATCAGGCTGAATTGACGCACCACGAAGGTCACGCGCGACCAGAAAGGAGCCCCAGATCTCCCTCATATCGTTCTCTGTTTCGCCGTCAGGAATCACGGAGAGGTCGTGCCCTAGGAACAAAGGATACGGCCGAGCAAGGCACACCCGGAATTGCGACTCGGTCCTCTCGACCAAGCCATAGAAAAATTTGTAGCAGAAAGTCGAGGTGTTATGCTTCCTGGGGGCCCGGGCGAATGCGTTGGCCAACGGTTTGGTGTCGGCAATATTGACCGCCCCTCTCAGCTCTGGGAAGTAAGCTTGCCGCAAGAACTGGAAGACCCATAGTGGACCACCGTGCTTCGGCTTCATCCCATCCGTGACGACGTCATGAAGCGTACGGTAGATATGACCAAGGAGGAATGGGCCGAGCACTAGCCTGCCGCCTTGCGCGAGATAGTCGGCCAGATGGGCGAAGTCCAAGGTGACTTTGTCCGCCTGAGTGCAAAACACGAACTTGCATGGCCAGAACAGCAAGAACGCGGCATGCTTGACCTCCCCCAAGGGAGCGATGGAATCATCATCGGCGCTGTCCTCCACACTGAAGTTACTGTAGAAGCTGGAGTAGTTGAGCATGTTCTTCGCCCTACTCCCAGCAAGCTTGGCGACCGTAGGCCATGCGGCCTTAAAACTCCCTTCAGCCTCAAGGGCAACCAGAGTGGCATTTACTTCCACGCCAAGAGGGGAAAGGTCGAATAGAGCGGCCATGTCTAGAACGGTCGGCGTCATCATGCCAAACTAGAGGTTCATAGTATTTGTGGCCGACGACCAGAAGCATAGGGCCGTGGCCAAGAGCGACCGGTCCACGACGACCGGCCGATCGAAGAGCTTGATCAAGTGGTAGATGCCTTGATCCTTCCATTGCTGGCCGAAGAAGTGCTCAATCCTCGGCAGCCATTTTTCCCAGTCTGGGGTCGAGGTTGGCCATTGGGGCTGCGGCCTGGCGACATTCCAATCTTGAAAATCCCCCCCGTCAAAGGCCAAGAGGTCCACCAGATTGTTCTCCAAATGAGCCACTAGCCTCTCTGGCATCCCGCCATCTACAGAGGGGCCGAGGACGCAGGAATCGGTGGCAGCGCCGTCATCATCTATCCAGGGTGTGACGATGTTGGGTAGGACCGAGCCCTGGATTTCTCGACAAATGTCTTCAAACTCAGTCTGGAAGACTTGGGACCGAGCTTCAACAGATGTAGAGGTGCTGGAAGCCATTGAAACAGATTGAAGTAGGGTGTGTTAAAAGAAAAAGTCGAAGAAAGGGTGATGAACACGAAGAACACCAGGGAGCGGAGCACTCAGAAAAAGGGGCGAAGAGTTCGTGAGTTTTCTGAGAAATGCAGAAGAAGCAACTGAAGTCGTTGGTAACTAACAAAGGGATAACTGGGCAGAAAGAGGTAGAGTGCTGAAATGTGAAGTTCGAAAGGGTTGAAGAATTGAGAGAAGAGTTTGGCAGAGTTTGGGCGTCTGAAAATTCTGAAAGCGTAAGGAAGGAATGAAGAAGGATAGACCTTTATATTGACACTAGAATTCGAAACGAAAGGGCATGGTCCTCTCGAGAGACGTAACGGTCTGACAGCGTGCTCAAATACGCGATGACGTGTCGGAAGCCCAGAAGCCGTCGTTTCATTTGACGAGACGAAACGACGGCTCGTGCAAGTCTGGGCAATGATGGCCTGCACGACGTGCTTGCGCATTTAATGCGCCGACCGACCTAAGCATTTAAGGCACCAACTGTCAATCACTTCAGGAGGAATGTGAAGGGTCCATCCCTTGGAATCCATTCGGCCTCTGCCCAGGCCGCGACCGAAGAATCCAGGGATGTGGGGGCAATGTTTGTGCTTAATAAATCACAGTCATAAACTGACCGAAGGGACCTCCTCTCGGCCCTAGCAGCTACTCATAAACTGAAACGGCCATGTTTCGTTAGGCATTTTGCCTTCCTGAAAACAAAAGAAAAGCTGCGAAGGCATAATCCTCTCGGCCTTGCGACCGCGGTATTATACGCCGAAGCCGAAGGTCGTAAGAGACACGGCCGAAGATACTGTGGTTAAATCGCCACGTGGCCTCAGGGTCTCATGCCCCATTTAATGAAGCAATGCCTCTGAGTATCGCAGCAAAACCACTAGTCGCAAGAAGCATTTAATGCACGAGGGAAGAAGGGAAGTGACTGAAGTCAGGATTTGGTGATGGAAATCAGAGTGGTTAGGCGCAAACATTCTCACAAGTATTCTTATAACGTGAGGTCAGATCACCAACCACCAGACCAGGGCATTAAATGCGTTCCCATGGCCAAAGGGGCAAAACCCACGATCAGGGCGGTGGCCGAGATTTACCGGGATTTATGGGGGTCACACCACCATGCTTCACCATGCTTCGCGATCCCAAATGCCGATTTGACTACCCACTTGCCCTGATCAGACTCCACCACGCAGATCTTTTCAGCGTCGATTGTCCCTCCAGGACTCCCCCTATAAATACTAAGCTCAAGACTACATGCAAAGGGTTCAAACACCAAACCAAAAGCCTCCCACAGAGCAAATTATATTTTCCTGTAATGCACTTTCAATACCTTTATTTGCTTTCCTAGGAGTAGTGATAGATTATAAGGAAAATCCATTCATCAATATATCATACGACCCTTGATTTTCAAGGCGCCGGAGCACCATCTCTGTTATCATCTCACTCACCCCATATATCATACGACCGTCGCTCTCTAAGCAACGCACCGGAGCACCGCCTAAAACCTGCCACCAACACCACCACTAAACGGCCTTGTAGCTCAGGCCATGAACCTGACTGCCAAGATCAGTTCCTCTCTCGGCCCAATCGTTTGATTAGGAGTCGAACTCAAAACAGGCGCATCATTTAACCATCTTCTACCCAAACCTCATCACCATCTCGACGCACGGTAGACCGTGCTGGCACGCCCGCGCACAACCGTACCGCATCTAAAAGAAGGACGTCACGTGTTAACACACATCCTCTCGGCTCGGAGCACCAGGCCGTGAGATTTGCACAGCCAACTAAAAGTTTTTGGGCCCCCCCCCCAAAAAAAAAAAAAAAAAAAAAAAAAAAAAAAAAAAAAAAAAAAAAAAAAAAAAAAAAAAAAAAAAAAAAAAAAAAAAAAAAAAAAAAAAAAAAAAAAAAAAAAAAAAAAAAAAAAAAAAAAAAAAAAAAAAAAAAAAAAAAAAAAAAAAAAAAAAAAAAAAAAAAAAAAAAAAAAAAAAAAAAAAAAAAAAAAAAAAAAAAAAAAAAAAAAAAAAAAAAAAAAAAAAAAAAAAAAAAAAAAAAAAAAAAAAAAAAAAAAAAAAAAAAAAAAAAAAAAAAAAAAAAAAAAAAAAAAAAAAAAAAAAAAAAAAAAAAAAAAAAAAAAAAAAAAAAAAAAAAAAAAAAAAAAAAAAAAAAAAAAAAAGACCTGGTATGCAATTGTCTGACAGATGTAGAGTTGGGATTGGTGTGTTTAGGGGTGGGGTGAATGGATGGAGATTTGGGGATAAAAGATTTGGCCTAGTCGGTTAGTTGGTTCTTCTTGTCTTTGATGGAACTCTACACAGACGGGGTAGAGGGATCTTTTCCATCGGCTTATGATGCCGTCTCCAACCTTATGCAGTGAAGCTAGTTATTAATTAATTTATTATTATGTCACAGGCCAGCTTGCTACTTTTGGAACCTTCTAAAATTCTAAATTAGACATGGCCATGTTGAACCATATATACAAGGAAAAACAATCACAATTTCATCGGTTTTGCAGGAAAGGGGGAATATTCCAATGCTGTAACTGGGGAGGACAGCTCACCAATGTTCATGCCTGAGGAACTGTAGCCTAAGGAAAGCCTCTTGATTCCTCATAAATTGTCAATGAAAACCAATTCCAAGCTAGCCACCTAAATAAGTCAAATGTAGCACAATGGAAGATGCCCAACCTTAGTTTCAGGCTGGGCATGGCTTCCAAGCAACATTCTGGATTTGATTCTAGAAAAGTTGATCCCAATTTCTGACTATATCCGATTTAGTGCAGTTTGCAAGCATTGGCAATCAGTCGCTTTACATCGCAAGAAGCAGCCCATCAAATCATGTCACAAGCAGATTCCTATGCTCATAATTCCCACCATAGACGGTAGCAGCGAAAGGCGTGGCTTGTATAGTGTGACACAAGGTAAGACTTGTAGCTTTGAGTTGAATGTGTATTACAGTAAGAGGTTCTGTGGTTCTTCCCATGGGTTGGTTGGCTTGTGTGGATGAGAATCTGGTAGTAACCCTCTTAAACCCTTTTACCGGGTGTACCATTAGCCTTCCACCAGTCCCCAAATCCACTTGGAGATCGACGGTAGCTTATAGATGTGATTACTACATTAATAAAGTTGAATTGTCTGCAGACCCTTCTTTTCTTCCTAATGAATATGAAGTATTGGTCATCTATGATGGCTATGGGAAACAAATAGCCCATTTTAAGTCAGGGGACGATGCTTGGACTAGCATAGATCAATTGATCGGATTCGATGATGTAATTTACAATAAAGGCCAGTTTCTAGGTGTTAGTTTGGGTGGTAGTGTTTTTTCGATGAATGTTAGCAGGGATCAAACTACCGAACCCCATGTAAGCTTACTTGTGCCAATGGATCCAGACACTGACAATAAATCATACCTTGTGCAATCATCCAAGGGAGATCTTTTGCTGGTTAGGAAGTTCAAACGAGTAAAATATGTAAGCAGTTTATGAAGTCTCTCAACTTCAAGTTTTTCAAGTTTGAAAGGTTAAAGTTTGAACGAGTAAATGGTTATGATCGTTTTACGGAGACTGAGCTTCAAGGTTTTTAAGCTGTTCAGTGCTCATGGGGAGAGACCCCAATGGGTTGAGATTGAAAGTATTGGAAATGAAGCTCTGTTTTTGGGTACCAATCAATCCATTTGTGTCTCTGCGCTGGACTTTCCAGGTTGTCAGCCAAATTCCTTATACTTCACTGATGATTGTGTGGATGTGGAATACCATAAACCTAAAGGGCCTCATGACATGGGTACCTTCGACTTGGAAAAGAGAAGCATGGGAACACATTACTGCTTGGATCGTTCGCAGAAGCACGTGCCACCAACAATTTGGATCTTGCCCTCTATGGTGTGAAAAGATGGAAGCCAAGTACTACTACTTTTATAGGCATTTTAGAGTTTAAATTGTTCCCCATGCGGCGACGATACATATGAAATTGGATTTGCAGAATCCTTGCAATTTGACTTGGCCACCATTAGAATTTCCACAAATAACTTTTCTGAAGCAAATAAACTTGGAAAGGGCGGATTTGGATCTGTTTAGTTCATTCACTATTGTTCAAGTAGGGTTCTGAATGAGCCTTCTCATGGACATAATCAAAGAACAGTGCAAGAGTCTGCTAATATTCTGTTACTTCAAATTAGTATTTTAATTTGTTTATCAACTTTTCTTGTTCATCATAATATTGTACACTTGACTTATGTCCTCTGTATTTTGCGTAGCGAAAGATATTCCAGTTTAAGTAAATTGATACGAAAGAATCATATTTCAAAAGTAAATAGCTAAGTCTGGACATTGAAGACCTAAAGCGAAACAAGTAGTCAATTTTCGAACCATAAAATAAGTTTTTATGAGCACATTGGTTTCAAATCAATGCAGCACATTCTTGATACAATAACATATGAAGTGCTATATCAAAGCATAACAGGATAGCTGAACAAGAGCAAACAGAAGTAGAACACTGAAACTAAGTCTAAAACATATGAGGTCTCAAAGAATACACACGTCAAGGAGGGTTACACAAGCGACTTTTAAAAGGTGACCACACCAACATGTATTAGAAACCGACATGGTAAGGAATTACAACGTCATACAATTGGATCCTCGTGACGTAGTGAAGGAATTAACCACGTCCTTTATTTTACAAAAACCGACGTTGAAGATATAATCCACGTTGTTTCTTTTCCTGTCCACGCCTTCAATATAATTTTTAATGTTAGCCTTTAACAACAGTAGTCGTTGGTAGGATTTCTTACGTTGGTATTCAACAATATTGTGTCATTTTAAAGTATTCAGACGTCCATTTTGTATAAAAAGTGTCATCTTTGTATAATTTAAATGACTATTCTCGCAAGAAACAGACATGGAATATTTTTTAAAAGGCGTTGTTCTCCTACATTGCAATGTGGATAATCGTATAAGCGACGGTTTTTTCCACATGTGTCTCGTGGTAAATTAATTTTACTTCGGTGCCTGTGTGATTATTGACATGTAATATGCTGTAAACGTCCGTTCTTTTGGCTATGCGTCGTCTTTTACAAGTTAGATGTCGGTTTGTTTATTTATTTAACACAGTATAAATTAACCATTACGGTTTAATAAAACCTGTATTCCTTCAATTAGGGACATCGATAATTATCTGTACGTTGGTGCTTGTTTTGATTTTGACATGTAACACTCTTCAGACGTCTCTGTTTTAATAAAACTGTCATCTAATTTTGTCGAATGTTACATTTTACGCTATATATATAGTAATTAGATGTCGGTTTGTAATATTTTTTGACATTGAATGTTTTAACGACGTTGGGTACTAGCCGTCGTCATTTTATATATCAAAAGATGGCGGTCGATTTCACGACGGTTTTGAAAACCTTCTAGACGATAGTGGATTCCTGTCGTCTATTTCGATTTTTGTAGTAGTGATTAGTGAAATTGATTGCAATGAAAGAAACAAATTTTTATCTCAATTAATTTATTCCAATTCATAAATTATTGTAGGCATGGAAAAATTGAAGGGAAGGGACAACTTCAAATCTAATAGATCCCACCTTGAGGACTGGTTCAAGAAGTGAAATAATGAGATGCATCCACATTGGATTATTATGTGTGCATGAAAATGTGGCTGCTGATAAGCCAACCATGGCTTTAGTTATTGTGATGCTGAATAGCTACTCCCTCAGTCTCCCGAAATTGATCTTTTCCCAATCTCATGAACTTCCTATGTATGCTTTAGATTTAGAAGTTGGATCAAAACTACGACACCTTTTCTTTTGTGGAATTTTCCTTTCCTTTGACCCAGATTACACGGTGGTTTACACAAATATAAATGGATGTGGCCAACGTTTAATTTGGTTCTAGAAAAAGCAATAGAGAGAAAAGAAAGTTGGTCCCACTATTAGAAAACTGCTCTAAAGGCACGGACTTATACCGTGTGGATAGTTGTGAACGTAGGCACCACACTCTTTTGTCAGTTGAAATTCAAAATCTTGGTCAAAATAGGCACTGATGCATGTGCCCCACTGCTCCATCCTACCTCACAGGGCAGGGCCACATCCACCTCTCTCTCTCTCTCTCTCTCTCGTCAATGGCAAAAAAGAGAGAAAAGTCCAAATTAAGCTTCTTGCACACGTTCTCTCTCTCTCTCTCTCTCTCTCTCTCTCTCCCTCTCTTATATATAATACATTAAAATTAAAAACTTTTTGAGATTTTGGAAAAACACAAAGGAGAGAGAAATTTTGTAAAAGAAGCCAAAATGGACAAAATTGCTCTTATTTATTTTTGGATTTCCTAAGGAATCTTTTACATTTGCATGTCTTTGATTTGAAAGTTGAGAGGTTTTTCTGTATTTTTTGAAAAAGCTTTGGCTTTTTCCAAAAGTGAAATTTTTTTTTTGGCTAAAACCTAAATTTACTAAGAGGTAATACTGAGAGAGAAAAAAGAAATAAATCCTGAAAATAATTCACAGCATCAAAGGATAAAGCAAATAAGGGAAATATAAATGATCATTCATTGTCTAGAAAGAAACATTATCCCAATAGATTGATAACTAGTAAGGAAGATCAGGGCAGCAGTTAAAACACTTTGTCATGCACTTGTACAAATTTCATCAACAAATACAAAAGAAGGTGCCTGAGCACAGGGAACAAAGATGATAAAAATGAGTATGTGCTACATCCTAGGGGACTGGCTTGAAACAAATTCTCAAACCTAACCCAAAGGCGTCACAGTGGTTGAGCATTTGCAATACGCCATGTTTTGCTTGTTGGTTTTGATGTGATTTGGGGATAGATTGGATGAAAACCAAATCAAAGAAATAGAGTGTGTTCAGCATCCCTCGCTCTTGAGTTTTGAGCAATATCATTTCCTCAATTTTTTGCCCGAATTAGAATCCTGGGGCTTGGGGCTAGGGCTGTGGGTTGCGGGTGGGGATGGGATGGTCAGGTCGTGAGGGAGAAAAAGCAGAGGGATGTGTGGGGGAAGGCTGAGAGGGGGGAGGTTGTGGAGTTGGGATGCAAGGCAGTGTTTTTGTATAAATATGGGTTTGTTTACTCTTTTAAAAAATTTGTTATTTTATTTTTGTATTTATCTAATTTTAAATTTTTTAATTAATTTAAACAATAGATAAATTTTTTATTAATTGTTAGGTCAATCTCAAGGGGGGAAAAAAAAAGCTATTGTGGCTAGTGAGATTCAATGTTTTAAAATTTTCTAAGTTTTATAATAGTTTCCTTTAATTTTTAAAACTCTATATTACTATTTTAATTCATAGAGACACTTTAACCCCTGAATTTAATGGCAAAATTGACAGACTTTCACAATAGGACCATTTTGGATACTAAATAGAGAGTTGGAGGACTATTGAAATGAAAATTTTAGTTGGTGGACTAAAATGAGATTGGAGCAAAAATTAGGGGACCATTTCAATCAATAACCAGGCTATAGTATTATATAATTGTTAAAGCCTTCAGTTGCTGGATTCCCTTTTGCATAAGGTATGTCGGTTCTTGTAACTAACAATTGCACCTAGTTCTCATAAGAACATGGGTGTTAAGAACTAGGGAAGTTAGTTTTAGTTTCCTTGTTTATATTAATTGTAATTGATTTGGAGTAGTCTACAAGTAATAACCTAGTTAATTTTCTTTGTAAATTTAGCTCGTAAACTCTATAAAGTTAGATGGGTGATGGGAATCGAAATTGATGTTATTTTACAAGTTGTTGAGGATCTGCTCACAAAACAAAGCTATGACAATTTCTAAACTTGAAAGGAATTTTGGGCTACTAACTAGCCTTTGTTTTAGTAGCATTTTTAGTTAGAGAAGGTCTCAAGTTTGACTCACATGGACATCGAGGACTATATATGTTCTCAATGAGTTCAATACTTTTGTTGTGGCTAGACTCATATTGTTGTGATGTAGCTCTTTTTTAGGGCCAATTTAGTGGGCAATATTATATGGTTGGATGAGATCATAATTCATTATTCTAGTCAAATATTTGATGTGGCATTTAATGATTTTTAATTTTCCACCCAAATTGAAATTGAAATTTAATTTTCCATCTAACAGTTTAATTAACGTCAGATTTTGCCAAATTATAGAGACCAGAATCATAATTTGCAAAAACAAAAAAGAAGAAAAAGTTGAATGCTTGAGTTGGCCTAGTTTAGAATTGCTGTCACTTTCTAAAAAAAGTTGCTTCTGTTGTGCTTTGAAAATAGCTGTAAAGTAAAGCAGCTCCATGTTTGGTAAATAATATTTTTAAAGTGCTGTTAATACAAAAAGCAGTGTCAAAACCGTTTAGTAAATTTAATATAAAATTGTTGTAACTGTGAATAATGATTAAAATAGGCATAATATTGAAAGTGTTATGTACTAATCATGTGGTGGTAGTGGAGGTGATGGAGTGGAGGTGGTGGTGGTGATCAAGGTGGAGTTGGTGGTTGTGGTTGTGGTAGTGGTGGTGGTGGGGATGGCGGTTCTGGAGATGATGGTGGTGGTGGCAATGGCAGTGTGGTGTTGGTTGTGGAGGGTGGTGGTGGAGGTAGAGGTGGAGGAGGAGGAGGAGGAGGATGTGATGGTGATGGTAGTGGCAGTGATGGTGGCGGCGGTTGTGGAGGTAGTGAATGTGGTGGTGCAAGTGGTGGAGTTGGATGTGGAAGTGGAGGTGGTGTCATTTTTTAAAATGAATGATGGTATTTTGGGAATTAAAAAAATTCATTAAAGGTTTATATCTTCTTCTTTTGAAAGCAGTTTTGAAAAGTAACCCAGAGTTTGCTTTTAAAAGCTGCTGTCAAAAGGCCACTTCTTTTAAAATAATCAGGATATTTTATTTTTACCAAACACTTGAAACTGCTTAACTTTAAAGTGAAGCAGGTTTTCGGCGAAAAGAAACAATCCCAAATGGGGGCCTCTTATCCCTAAATGGACGTTGAGTTTCAGCTTAGATGTTTCCAATTTCATGAATTACATATGCTTATTGGAACATTTTTATCTTTTTTTCATTTTTAGAAGTTTCCATTCCTTCGACCAGGACACCCACTTAATTAAGGTTGGTAAATAAAAAAGCAGTCCGTCCACACTAGAAAATTCCTTGCAATATCTCCTTGCCTTGACGTCAACCATGCACCCCCCCTTCTAATATTCAATTGTTTTATTTATTTGAAATCTCCAATTAGTCCTCATCAAAAATCACAAGAAGAACCAGTCCCGTCTCTGTCAATATGTGTGTGTGGCTTTTATTTTATAATAAATTGAGCTTAGACCCATAAAATTCATTTAAAATCACCTACAACCCTTTTTTTTAGTTTTCTATTTAAAATACCTAATTTTTTCAAATAATACCCGATGACTAGAATCCAACTAAGCAAGTTACCTAATATAACTTAAAATCTTATTTATTATATTTTTCGGATTCCAAAACTACCCCAATTTATAAGTTAATGTGTTATGGGGGGTGTAACTAATGACACTCGTTGAATTTGGAAATATCTCAAAATAGTTGTAATGGATGTAGGAACTAATTTAGAAACTTATTTGAAATTAAATATTAAATTCCACATTAAAGTATTAGTAATCTATTTTACAACTAGTAATTTATTTTTGAATTAATGGTGTTTTCCTTATATGAATTACGACTAGTAATCTATTTAAAGTATTAATAATTTAAATTCAATATTAAATTTAAGAATTAATGTTGTTTTCTTTTTATGAATTATACGACCAGTATTCTTTTTTATTAGTGTACATTCTAATTATGTTGAAAAATAATTTAATGATCTATTTATTGTTTTGTTTTTAAAACATTTTTTTAATGAACCTATTTTTTCTCCAAATATTGTACCTATTTTTTTTCTTTATTACTTGTTTTATGAAAAATAATTTGATCATCTTTTTATTGTTTGTTTTATGAATTTGTTTTCAAAATGAGCCTATTTTCTCCCTCAAAATAATGTACCTATTTTTTTTCTCTAATAATGTACATAGTAAAACAATTTACCTAGTATAATGAACCTATTTTTTTACTCATGTCATGATATATCAACGATGTGGCCAACGTTTAATTTGGTTCTAGAAAGAAAAGGCAATAGAAAGAAAAGAAAGTTGGCCCCACTAGTAGAAAACTGCTCTAAAGGCACGGACTTATACCGCGTGAATAGTTGTGAACGTAGGCACGTCTCTCTTTTGTCAGTTGAAATTCAAAATCTTGGTCAAAATAGGCACTGATGCATGTGCCCACTGCTCCATCCTACCTCACAGGGCAGGGCCACACCCACCTCTCTCTCTCTCTCTCGTCAAGGGCAAAAAAGAGAGAAAAGTAAAGAGCTAAATAAAAAATGGTGTGTGTTGATCAGTTTTTTTGGACAACAGACAAGGAAATAGTGGATGCACAGTGGCTCTATAATCAGTGTCCTTTACTCCTAAACGCCATCGTTAAAAATGGTTTAATATTCAATCAATTTGAGAAATAAATTACATTTTCTTTTTTATGTATTATGCTCTCTTTTGATTTGACCAACAATAATGTACAAACAGAATGGCGCCCATTAATGTTCTCCTTCAGATTTCTGTTCTTCCTTTCTCCCGTTTTGTTCCTTATGATCAGCACTCAATCTCAATCCCCATATTGTTACAACGATAAAGGCAACTACACCACCAACAGTACCTACAAGACAAACCTCAACACCCTTCTCTCTTCTCTTTCTTCCCCCTCCAACAACGGCAATGGCTACGGCTTCTACAACTTATCCTATGGGGAAAACCCCGACCAGGTTTACGCAATCGGGCTATGTCGAGGGGATGTCACGGTGGACTTTTGCCGTGGCTGCCTCAGCAACGCCACACAACAGATCACACAGGGCTGTCCCAATCAAAAGGAAGCTTTCGGCGTAATTGAACAGTGCACGCTTCGCTACTCCAACCGCTCCATCTACGGAGCCATGGAAACTTTCCCTCCTCTCATGTGGTATAACGCACAGAACGTGCCCTCCGACGTCGACGGGTTTTCTCAAGAACTGAATACGCTACTGGAGGACCTAAGGGGTCAAGCTGCAGGAAACGGTTCACTTCGAAAATTTGCGGTAGGGACCGCAACCTTTCCCAACTTCCAAAATGTCTATGGACTTGCGCAGTGTACGCCAGATTTGACCGAGCAGGTCTGCAGTGATTGCTTGGGCAGTTCTTTGGCAGATATTCCAAAATTTTTTGAGGGGAAGCAAGGTGCTCTAATTAGTAAACCCAGCTGTAATGTTAGGTATGAGCTTCGTTAACACTACAACTATCCGACCATTGCCGTCTTCTCCGTCGCCACTGTCTAGTCCTCCTCCACCGCCACTGTCTAGTCCTCCTCCCCCGTCAACCAGTACAGGAGGTACATATATATATATATATATATATATTTACATCCCAATATATTATGCTTTGAAGAAATAAAGTTTGCTTAACTAGAGAAATTGTCCAGGAATTTGTAGACGAGTTACATTTTAGTCCCTCAATTCAATTTTTAGTTGATGTAGTTGTCTCGTGTACAAGTTGAGGGACCATTGCTACTGTTGACACTACAACAATTTTGGGTCGAATAGATTTCTAATGCATATATATCTGTATGTATGTATTCAAATTAATGCAAATGAGATTTCTGATTTTTGCAGGATCGAAGAGTGACAAATCTCGAACTGTCATCATTATCGTTGTGCCAATTGTTGTTTCTGTGGTACTAATAGTTATGTTCTTCTGCATTTGTTTAAGAGTAAGGAGGACAAAGAAAAAACTTGAAACTGGGAAGTTAATTCCAGGTAAGAACGCAACTCTAGTGAACATTAATTAATCATATTATTCCATTTGATAGGGAGGAAGCCGAGTACTACCACTTTTATAGGCGTTTTTAGAATTTCAATTGTTCCTCAGGCAACGACGATACAGATGAAATTGGATCTGCAGAATCCTTGCAATTTGACTTGGCCACCATTAGAGTTTCCACAAATGACTTTTCTGAAGCAAATAAACTTGGACAGGGCGGATTTGGATCTGTTTACAGGGTAATGACAAGTTAATAACAAGAACTTATAACTTTGATATTTCTTGAATACCACTTATCTGATTTCTGTTTTTTCATTCTGTACCTATATATTTTTTCAGGGTAGGCTTCTCAATGGAAATGATATAGCTGTAAAAAGGCTCTCTACAAATTCTGGGCAAGGAGATTTAGAATTCAAAAATGAGGTCTTGTTAGCGGCTAAACTTCAACACCGGAATTTAGTTAGACTCTTAGGTTTCTGCTTAGAAGGAAGTGAAAGGCTTCTTGTCTATGAATTTGTCCTTAATGCAAGTCTCGATCACATCATATTTGGTATGTCTGGAATAATGCGTTGTTTTCGTTTAACTTCCAATGTTTATTATAAAATTCCAATTGTGTGACATGTATGCAAGCAAACATTGTAATTGAAGTCTTGATTTTGCATTAATATATTTGCAGACCCAACAAAGCGTGCACAACTAGATTGGGGGAGGCGCTACAAAATCATAGTAGGCACTGCTCGAGGCCTCCTTTACCTCCACGAAGACTCTCGCCTTAAAATTATTCATCGTGATCTCAAAGCTAGTAACATCTTGATAGATGCAGAAATGAACCCCAAAATTTCAGATTTTGGCATGGCAAGGTTGTTTGTGCCTGATCAAACGCAAGGCAATACTAGTCGGATCGTTGGGACCTTGTAAGAATATGCACTTAACTGCCTGTGGGCTTATGTCTGTTATATGTCAACAATTTCCTTTCCATATGTGTTGGTGAACGCGGACATTCTTTTTGTTGATATGCAGTGGGTATATGGCTCCAGAGTATGCAATGCGTGGGCACTTTTCTGTTAAGTCCGATGTCTACAGTTTTGGTGTGTTAGTTCTAGAGATAGTCAGTGGACAAAAAAATAGTGGCTTCAGGCATGGAGAAATGCGGAGGATCTTCTAAGTTTCGTAAGTGAAAATATAATATAGTTTTGGTATCTCAATACAATTTAGTGCAACGAATCAAAGAAAGAAAACTTATCTCTTATCAAATTCACAAATCATTGCAGGCCTGGAGAAGTTGGAGGGAAGGGACAGCTTCAAATCTAATAGATCCAACATTGAAGACTGGTTCAAGAAATGAAATAATGAGATGCATCCACATTGGATTATTATGTGTGCAAGAAAATGTAGCTGATAGGCCAACCATGGCTTCTGTTATTCTCATGATGAATAGCTACTCCTTCACTCTCCCACTGCCCTCCCAACCTGCATTTTATTTGCATAGAAGCATTGCATCGGACATGTCCTTACGATCTGAATATAATTCAGGGGCAACAAGGTCAGATCGATCCAAGAGTAACTCTGTCATAGTAATGGAATATGAGACTTTTACTGAACCACATCCTCGCTAGTGGTTGAAGATCGATCCCTTTTGATTCATTTTAATTCTTTCTTATCTAATTCTATATGGTGTGGTTCATTCATTAATTGTTCAAGTAGGGTTCTGAATAAGGCTTCACATTCTTGATACAATAACAGAGGAAGTGCTATATAGCAAAGCATTTACTTCTGATGGATTTGTAGAGAAAATTACCCAAGTGTGTTGATTTTCAGGATCTGGATCAATGTGAATCAAACCAGAGTGTAATTTATTATATTTTTATGACAACTCTGTATAATGAATATCCTGTTTTTGCGGTGATTCATGCATATAAATAACATTGCTGATGAGCTCCGGTTCAACCATTCCTTTAGCAGCTGTTGCTGGTGTTGCCTGATGAGTCATCACCCAGGCTGAGGCATAGGCTGGTCTTGTTCATTGTGGCATGCTTCACTTCCTGGAACATTCCTGCAACTAAAAAGTCATCATTCAGGCTGGGGCATGGGCTGGTCTTGTTCATTATGGGATGCTTCACTTCCTGGAACAGTCCAGCAACTAACAAGTACATATCCTTGATCTACTATGTCCTTTTTTTCATTGTTAGTAACAAAGCACCAGAAAACGAAATTATATTGATGTAATTTAGGATATCCCTTTGGTTCACATTTCCTTTAAATGTGTGGTTCCTATACATTTCATTTAAAAAAAGCAGTCAATTCTGACTACAAGAAACATGGTCAATAAATACTTTTTCACAAAGGCAGGATGCATGCATGTACCCTTTGTAGGAATTTCGACACATGAAGAACTTACGTTTTTCTGTTTAATATTCAGTTTAAAATATTTTCAAATTTATAAATAATATTGATGTCACTTCGAGTTAAATATATTTTCTGAACCACTACGTCAAAAATTACTTGTCACCATATTCATTATTGTAACCTCAATTATTGAGGAATGAATTGATTTTTATCTTTCATGAAACATGATTGCTAATAGTGCTGCTCCTACATCTGGAAAAAAGTGAAATGGGTTTCTACCTTTGGGGATGATTGCACACTTAGACGAAAGTGGTTCGGATAAGTGTATTGATTAACATGAAGCTCATATATAGCTTTTGATCTGTGATAATATGACTAAAAACGTTTATAGTGGTTTGGGCCTAAATTCCAAGCGCCAGCCCATGTCAAAAACAAGAGTTTGCACTTTGTTTTATTAAAGTCAGAAGTCAGCTCAAATGCGTTTAGAGGCTCAGACCTTTGTGAACTAGTTACAAGGAATAAATTTACAAATTAAGGATTGTAGGGGCTTTTTCATTCCGACAGCTACTGATGGGCCTAGGTTGTTGTAAAGAGCCAAATGTGTGAAATTGCCCATGGGTCTGAGTTCAAAAATCGAAGCCCAAGAGTGCTTTGAAAGGGTAGCTGAGCTTCAGGAAACACCTTGGTCTTCTTCACCAATGAAACCAACGGTTGCTTACAGATAAATTTTTGGCTTGGCTTGAGAGGCTTGTGGCATGGAAGCTAAGCATTCATGAGTTTAGCATGAGAGAGAGAGAGAAAGACTAGACTTTCTACAAGAAACCGAGGTTTAAAGCAAAGGATTTCATGAGAATTTGCTGAGGAGAGAGAGAGATAGAAATTAGGGTGAAAGAATGGGTGCTTTGGGTAATTTTCCGACAGCTTGACGAAAGCTTCGTCAGGCTCTGGAATGGCTTGCTAGAAGAGAAGATGGGAAAAGATGGAGGAATATGGCTCGAAATTGAAGGGATCCAAGGATGAGAGGTGATGCTTGCTCTCTCTGGACGTGTCTTGAGATAATGGGTAGAGGATACCCCCCTTTTAAAGGAGCTTCTTCCCAAGAAACTCTAATGGGTTCTCTCCAATTTTGCAAAGTCTTTCCTTTCATTTCTCTTCCCTTCCTCTAATTCATCCTAATTTGTGAAATCCTCATCTGTCCAAACACACAGAGACAAGATTTTTGGGAGCTCAAAAGTCTTCCCACAGTCATTCCAGTGGTAACCTCCCATCTCTGGTTATCACTTCTCTTTCTTTCCTCCTTATTTCATGGTAAGAGCTGGTAAATAAAGGAAATAGATAGCAGCGTTGGTCTGAAGGATGCCTTTTCTCCTAGCAACTTGCGCACGCTAATACCCTTTGGTCTTTTGAATGGTTTGTCTTGAGGTTTGCCTTTGGTCATGTGCTAGAGCTTCCCAGCAGCCTATGCAAGTCTCTATCCCTTGGTTTTCTGTTGTGGTTTTGTCTCTAGCCATGTGTTGGAGACTTTTAGATTTTTCTAAGTCACTTGGGCCATTCCCTAAGGTAATGGGCTAGTTTACGGAGGGGATTGGCCAACCTTTTAGAGTGATGGACTATTTTTTACTAAGGTGATGGGCCAATTTTCTAAGGTAATAGGCTACCTTTTTCTCTCTTTCATGCTTACCCACATATTTGGGCTAAATAAATGGGCTCGAGTTTTGGGGCTCCCAATCAGCCCAAAACTTCCATTTCTTGGCCCATCAATGGGTTTAATGAATGCTTGTAACCGTCCATACCACAACTTACTCAACAAGCCCCAGGCATTCACGTGGCTTGGGCTCACTTAAGCTTGTAGCGTGGCGTGTTGCTTATTTGCTTAGCGTGGCACGTGTGCAAGCGCATATGACAAACTCTTAAGTACCCAAGTTGTGTTTTTTCCTAAGTTAGGTGTCGTACTAGGCTAGAAATATATTTGGGCTCAGCCTTGAATTTTTTGGGCCTCAACAAAGATTAATTGCCATTAATGGTGATTTAATCTGGACAAATCAGTTTCTAATTGGTTTAAAAACTAAGCCCAGCTTCTAATCTCTCCAAAGGATCAAAATTTGATCATCACCGTTGATCACAATTTCATAAATCAAGTCAGCAGATTTTTGGGAAGATCTCTCTCTCTCTCTCTCTCTCTACAAGAGCCCACGTGACTCTAAAGTCAAGATTTCAATAGGGCAGATGACGTGATAGGGAGTTGGTAGAAGGTTTAATTCGAAAATAACTCCCCATAACCATTTAATGCCAAGTTTCTTTCCTATGCTCATGAGGGCTTTGCATCAGGGCAAGTGGGGTTTATGAGAGATAAACAAGAGTAAGAGAGTTGGTTGACTGAAGATCAAAACTGATCATCATAAAAACTGACTTTTGATGAGGGTTTTCTTTTGTCAGACTAAACTACTATCCCTTTTTTCACGCTGGAACAAGGAATCCTCTCAACAGATCTATCCTCTAGATATTAAGGATTAAACCCTCATTCAGATTCTCTATAAATATGAGAGGGGTGAACAGGATTGAGGATAGCCAAAAATTCAATCAAAACAAAAACTCTCAAGTCATACTGATAAATTCAAAACAAGATCATACGATCTCAAAAGCCTTCAGACTCTAAAGTAATCAAGCTCTTTGATTTATAAAAGACATCCGGTCTCTGATAGAACAAGCAGACCTCAGGTTTCTGACTTCAATTTAACTTAAAAAAGCAATTCACAAAGAAAACAAGATTTCTCTCGTTACAAATTTGGTTCAGCATAGGCCAATCAAGCAGAGTTCAGGCTTTTCAGGCTTTTCATAATATAAAAACCTTAACAAATTTAGAGAGATGCCTTGATGCCTGAGAATCATCAGAACAGATCGCAGGTGATCCACAATTAAGCAGAACAGGTGCTGAAGTGCAGTTTCAGACCAGAAATTGTCAATCCAGCCACTTCCAATCCAATCTAATCCAATCCAGACTGAAGAAATCCCAGTTCTGCCCATCCAACAAGGCTCTTTATGGCTAAAATAGATTAAAGGTTTGTCAATCTCAACATTGATATCGATTTCCAACTGAACCTCATCAATTGAAGGTGCTGACGTTTGAATCCAGCACAGACAGCCTGAGTCATAGGCAACAATCCAAGCAGAAATAGATGCCCAATGTTCTGTTGTCCTTTCAAACGTGGCAGTTCCCTTTTGTTTTAAATTGTGTAATAGGAAATTCTCTTTAAAATAGTTTTATTTATTTTTAATATTCATTTAGGCCAGAACTACTAGTTTTTACTGTGAGAAATTGTGAAGTCTTCACCAGTCTGAGACAAGAAAAGAACTTACTTGGGAGATATTCTTCATCCAAATTCACAATCACTTGTTTAAAGTCAATAACTTAGGGTGCAAGTTATCTATTTTTCATAAGTTTGTTAAGGTCTTGACAGCTAACAGTAGCACGTTGGCACACCAAAGAAAGTTGACTTGTTGACCACAAATAGTTTTCAAGTCAATGGGGAATTTTACCTTATCATCACAAGAATTAAATCTAAACGGGTGAACAAAAGTAAATAAGCTCTATAACATTGCAGAACAAACTTATAAAGTGGTATATAGTAAAATGTAGGTAGTAAATTCATTTGACGGGTAAATTACTCAAATGGTCCTCAAACTTGTACTCGATTTACATTTGGTCCCTCAATTAAATTATTAGTCCAAATGGTCCATTAACTATATATTAATCTCTCCATTAGTCCTATCGTTACATTCTGTCAATGTTGCTGTTAAATATGAGGGCAAATTGGTCATTTCGTACGTTAAAAAAAAAAAAAAAAACTCTCTCTCTCTCTCTCTTCCCCCATGGCTACCACCCTTAAACTCCAACCCCCAAACCCATCCCACAACCACTCTCCACCCAAACCCATCCAACAACTACCCTCCACCCCAGGCCCCCATGAACCCATAACCCCAGCTCCCCTTCCCTTTTGATTTCCCTTTGTTATTGAGAGACAACCACCATCACCCTCCGCCCCACCTCATCACCGGCCAACCTCACCTCCCAAAATCACAGCCATTGTCAATTTCTCACCCTCCAAGTGCACTCTCCTCTCCTCCCACCTCACCTCCTCATCTCCCAAACTACCCAAACTCTTTCCCCACACCCACATCTCTATACCCACAACTCTATACACACATCACCCAATAATCCCTCCCTCCACCAAAAGTTCATCCAGAAGCTTTAGAACCATCATCCTACGTTCAAGAGCCTTCTCCTTCTTCCAATCCACCTGCCAAGTTCACACATTTGGAGCAGCAAGTGGTGGACCTCAATGGAGAGGTCTGTGGGGAATGGGGGAGAAGAAATCCAAGGGAGGGGGTTTAGGTCTCATGATTTTTTTTCTCTTTTTCTTCAATTATTTTCAAATTTGTATTTATTTTAACCCTATTTTATTTGTTAATTATGAAAAGTCGTATTTACCCTAAAATTTGGTTAAATTTAATAGAAAATTAGACGGTAAGACCAATGGAGCGATTAATATATAGTTAATGGACCATTTGGACTAATAATTTAATTGAGAGACCAAAATGTAAATCGAGTACAAGTTTGTGGACCGTTTGAGTAATTTACCTTTCATTTGACTTGCCAGATTATAATTCAACAAAGTGTTATCTAATTTGGACAATTTTTTTTTATAATTGCTTGCTAACTTGGAAGTCTCTTTGGAGGGAAAAATGGGGGATTATCTTGCGAAACGCTTTCCCGATGCTAGGATGATAGTTTTTTCGCAGATAAGCTCTGGTTCAGCTATTCCATTAGCAGCTATTTTGTTGCAGATGTTGTCGGATGACCAATCAACAGCATTCAGGCATGGGTGGTCTTGTTCACTTCCTGGAGCAGTCCAGCAACTAACAAGTACGTATCCTTGATCTACTATAGTCTTCATTTTCCCAATAAAGAAATTTAGTGTGTCCATCTTTCGTAGTGACGCCGCGGAACAAAAAAAGGGAAGAGAAAATCAGTTGCATGGGGAATTATAACTACATGGTTCTCAAATCTGAGAGAAATTAATAGAGAAGCTTCCCAAAGCAGAAGCTGGACTTGGCTAATTGCACCTTCCTCCGTAAACACAACTCAAATATGAAAAGGATGGTGATGCTCTCATTGTCTTGGCAATCTCCTTGGTCTCCAATTAGATTGGAGAACAGTTGGAGTTGTAATAGACAGACTGAGGTTAGAAACTAAGGATTGCCAAGGCAAGTAGAGTATCCAAATTCATATGAAAAAGCTTCATCGACATGGTAAAAGCTGGATTTTAATGTTTACAACCAAGATGTATATGTTAGTAACACCATCCCATCCCATGTTTTTTTTGTGGACAAATCCCATGTTTTAGTATCTGGATATTGTCTTTCCCATTTTCTCTAAGATAATGTAAAATATCAGAGACCCTATAAAAAGTTATTATTTTATTACTGTGTACACTGTCTACGTGAATGTACTAATAGTGTGTCTTCACTAATCAGTAAAAAGTCAAGGTAAATTATCAATATCGGGGTCTCTCATAGCAAAATCATAATTGGACAAGACATGAAACAGCGTTTTGTATTTGCCCATTTGAGAAACAACTCAACATAAAACACTAACAATATCACTTGCCTAACTAATTATGGGTTCTCTTAGATCCTCAAAGATGACCAAAATAATTATTCCATATTACGCTATATTTAATTTTTGAAAAGAAAGCACCCACCTCAAAGATGCCCAAACTGACCAGTCCGCATAGCAAGGGAGACTGGACAATGGATTTGAACAGAGTGAGTGAGCCCAACCCAGTCGGGTCCGTGTGCAGACTGGCCCCCATCTCTTTGTACACCCCTGGCAACAACGACTCGTCAGCTCTCTGCGTAATACTTGCTAGGTTCACCAACAACAATTTCACAACCTCTGCTTTCATTTTCCAATGTCTGTTTGGAGTGAAAACAGAGCACTCTGCTCGGTTATCAGACCAAGTGGAGAAAGACAAATCAGAGGTTTTATGTTTAGGGACAGAAGAAGGGGAAGAAGTTTTCGTTGACTAAAGGCTGGATGGCAACCGAAGGGTTACTTTGGAAATGATGACCCACGTTGAATGTGGGACCTGGTATGCAAGATTTGGGCTTGTCTGACACGTGTAGGGTTGGGATTGGTGTGATTAGGCGTGGGGTGAATGGATGGAGAGTTGGGGATAAAAGATTTGGCCAGTCGGTTAGTTGATTCTTCTTGTCTTTGATGGAACTCTACACAGACGGGGTAGAGGGATCTTTTCCATCGGCTTATGATGCCGTCTCCAACCTTATGCAGTGAAGCTAGTTATTAATTAATTTATTATTATGTCACAGGCCAGCTTGCTACTTTTGGAACCTTCTAAAATTCTAAATTAGACATGGCCATGTTGAACCATATATACAAGGAAAAAACAATCACAATTTCATCGGTTTTGCAGGAAAGGGGGAATATTCCAATGCTGTAACTGGGGAGCACAGCTCACCAATGTTCATGCCTGAGGAACTGTAGCCTAAGGAAAGCCTCTTGATTCCTCATAAATTGTCAATGAAAACCAATTCCAAGCTAGCCACCTAAATAAGTCAAATGTAGCACAATGGAAGATGCTCCAACCTTAGTTTCAGGCTGGGCATGGCTTCCAAGCAACATTCTGGATTTGATTCTAGAAAAGTTGATCCCAGTCTCTGACTATATCCGATTTAGTGCGGTTTGCAAGCATTGGCAATCAGTCGCTTTATATCGCAAGAAGCAGCGCATCAAATCATGTCACAAGCAGATTCCTATGCTCATAATTCCCACCATAGACAATAGCAGCGAAAGGCGTGGCTTGTATAGTGTGACACAAGGTAAGACTTGTAGCTTTGAGTTGAATGTGTATTACAGTAAGAGGTTCTGTGGTTCTTCCCATGGTTGGTTGGCTTGTGTGGATGAGAATCTGGTAGTAACCCTCTTAAACCCTTTTACCGGGTGTACCATTAGCCTTCCACCAGTCCCCAAATCCACTTGGAGATCGACGGTAGCTTATAGATGTGATTACTACATTAATAAAGTTGTATTGTCTGCAGACCCTTCTTTTCTTCCTAATGACTATGAAGTATTGGTCATCTATGATGGCTATGGGAAACATATAGCCCATTTTAAATCAGGGGATGATGCTTGGACTAGCATAGATCAAATGATCGGATTCGATGATGTAATTTATTATAAAGGCCAGTTTCTAGGTGTTAGTTTGGGTGGTAGTGTTTTTTCGATGAATGTTAGCAGGGATCAAACTACTAAACCCCATGTAAGCTTACTTGTGCCAATGGATCCAGGCACAGACAATAAAACATACCTTGTGCAATCATCCAAGGGAGATCTTTTGCTGGTTAGGAAGTTCAAACGAGTAAATTATTGTAAGCGGTTTATGAAGTCTCTCAACTTCAAGTTTTTCAAGTTTGAAAGGTTAAATTTTGAACAAGTAAATGGTTATGATCGTTTTACGGAGACTCTGAGCTTCAAGGTTTTCAAGCTGTTCTGTGCTCATGGGGGAGAGACCCCAATGGGGTTGAGATTGAAAGTATTGGAAATGAAGCTCTGTTTTTGGGTACCAATCAATCCATGTGTGTCTCTGCTCTGGAATTTCCAGGTTGTCAGCCAAATTCCATATACTTCACTGATGATTGTGTGGATGTAGAATGCCATAAACCTAAAGGGCCTCATGACATGGGTATCTTCAACTTGGAAAACAAAAGCATGGGAACACATTACTGCTTGGATCGTTCGCAGAAGCACATGCCACCAGCAATTTGGATCTTGCCCTCTATGGTGTGAAAAGATGGTTCCAGTTTTGTTCTTTCAAGCTCTATTTTCATTTGTTTGTCATTCTAAATGTAAGCTCCAAACATCTCTTATAAGGACATTGAGCTTCCAACTCTGAATAAGGACATTGAACTAATATAAATTATAATGAACAGCTCTTGAGATGGATAATGGAAGTTTAATGTGAATTGAAGTACAAGAGACGCAAAGTTTATATGGCAGTAGTCTAATTTTCACCAAGTCTTTATATTCGAATATAGACCACTATATATCTGTTGGGAAAACCATACTCACTATTTATAATAGTAAAGAAAGAAAGCAATTTGAATGATATGTAGGAAAGTGGTGGATGGCCATATTGACAAAGAAATTGGCTAACTGAGTTGCAGGAAAGTGGTGGATGGCCACATTGACAGAGAAATTGGCTAACTGGGTTGCTGCTAAACAATGTTAGCTGTGGGGTTCTTTATTTTGGCTTACCACTACAGAGAAAACAACACTTCTGACATTTGACATATGACTTTTGAGATAGCATAGTGCCACTTTGCTACTGAATGTACTATGTTGTATGCTAGGCTGCCAGCTTTTTGAGAACTGTTTCAAAAATTTGAATCACATTTATATCCATTAACTTGTTGGTTGATTCTTGGAAAATAAATGTAGGAGTCTATAAATCCTCCTGAACTTCTGTCAAAGGAAACCTCACCAAAGAACTCTAGCTATATATATATTTCTCTAAACCCTCTTCTAGAATTCAGACTCTCTCTCTCTCTCTCTCTCTCTCTCTCTCTCTCACACACACACACACACATATAGCGCATATCAAACTCTCAAGTCTCATGGACAGAACCAATAGTATACCTTTGCAGGGCCCAACCTATGGAAACCTCATCACCTAAAGATTGATATTCAACCTGAGGCTCAGGTAGAATATCAATCTTTGGGTCCTGTGCATATGCTCACTTAAAATGTCTGTAATAATTCTATGTCAATATATCATCAAGTGCTAAATTATCCAAAATGTTTGATCATGTTGCAGAAACTGGATAGTGAAGATGCAAGAATCGCCAACTATTTCGATGTGATTGCAGGAACAAGCACTGCTGGTCCTGCTTACTCACTGCCCCAAAATCTTCCCCAAGAAAACAGTAATGTTTACAATTTAAATGTCAACTTTTTGTTAAATATTGAAGCAGAACGTTGTTGTAAAAATAGATTCTGATATAAGCATTATTAATTTTTTAAACAACACCTGTCCGGTATTTTTTCATACTACAAAGATTATCAAAGCTCTTGAGCCGGACCAGAATACAATGGAACGTGCCTACATGATGACTTGGTTGGGCAGAAACTTGGTGATAAAAAACTACACCAGACCAGACAGTAACTAACGTTGTCATTCCCGCATTTGACATAAAGCAGCACCAGCCAATTATCTTTTCCAGCTATGAGGTTGCCCCTCTTACTTTGAATTTAACCCATCATATCACTTCTTAGCTTAATTTTCTTTTTGATCATCAGCTTAATGTTACTTTTACTGTTTGTTATTTGTTAATTACTCTGTTTAAATCATGTGTGCTTTTCTTGGGTGGTTAGGTGGAAAATAAGTGATTCTTCGATTCATAACTCTTCGTCATGTATGCATTGCAACCTCAGCAGTCTTACTGAGTTTTTGTTTTTCTTCATCTTGTTGAGTGAGTATGGTACTAAGATTATAAGTTGTGACTTTTGTGAGATATAGTGATCTGGTTGCTTTTGGGCCATTCAACATGTCGTCTGGACAAGTGGTTCAGGTGCCCTGTGAAATAGGGCATGCTGGTCACGTTCCTAAGCAACTTGTCATTCGGAAATTCCCACATTAGTCTTAACAGGGCTTGACCAATTTTAGTTGGCAAATTTCAATACCAATCCATTTCTGTTGATGAAATTCGTCACCAAACAAAAAGTGAATGGCCTTCTTTTCCACAAATGAGGCAAGTTGGATTATGAAATAAAGCAACTTTACAACTAGGAAGGGATGCATTCAAAAATATACGAACCAAACCCTGCATATTGAAGTGACCCTCTAACTCTAATCGGATGTAGGTCTTGTTAGGTTTTTGTATGTATTAGTGTTTGGAGAGGATTTTTTTTTTTATCAGGAAAATATTGTACACTACTTAATTACCAATTTGCTTAGTTACAATCATGTATATCAATTGAATATTTGTATTTAATTAACGATTAATACTAGTGGCTTTTTTACACAAAACAGATCAATGCAAACTTTGGATGCTGATCATTTATATAGGGGGCTTAGTTGCATCATGGGAGATAGAATTCAGTGCCACCTGTTTTTATACAAGGATAGAGAACCAAGTACCAAGTAATGCAATCTTTGGATACATGCCATTCATTAGTTGTTCAACCATTATAATTGGCGTACATGTCTAAAAGTTTAGGTAGTAATTATGCAAATTTTCCAATTAAAATTTTCACAAATGCTAGTTTCCTACGTTGGTCTAAAATAAAGAGGCCATTCCATGAGACAAAATCCTATTAAAAAGAAATCACAACATGTAATTAACAATATCAATTTGACTTAGAAAATGAAGGAAAAGTTTAAAGTCTTAACAACTACCAATTAGTTTAGTGATGCTTATCTTCACAATATTCCAAATTCGAATCTCAACCCCCGTCAATTAAAAGAAAAAACACTATTGGTGGGGGTTTGAACTCTTTGATTTCCAAACGGATAAAAGCAAACCTTTTGGATATTGATATACTACGGTTTTCGGATTGAGATTTCAAATTAAACTACGACTGAGACGCTTTATGTGATAGTTTTCTACGCGGTTTTGATTGTTGGGATTACTTCTGTACAAAATGGCAAAGCCTAGGCCTGCAAATACATACAAGTTGTGCAACTATTGATTTTTTGAGTGTAAGGAAATTAACGAGCACTATATATGGCGGAGGCATTATCATCAACCTTTGATTCCAGTTGGGCATGGCTCCCAAGCGACGTTCTAGATTTTATACTAGATAAGTTGATACCAATCTATGAAGATGTCACCCGAAGAGCACTCATTTTGGATACTCTTCAAGTTAGGATCGTTAATGTATTTTGATCATCTTGGATTTTGTAACTATATTTTTGTTTGTGCTATTTTGGTTATATTTTGATTGAACTATTTTAGTTATAATTTGGTTGAACTATTTTGGTTGTAATTTGATTAAATTAATTGAAACTTGTCTTATGAGTTTTGGTTGACTGGCAGGTAATGTCACAATCAAGCATGTATGAAGGTAATGACATAGGAGAAGAAAAAGTTGATGACAAAGAAATAGATGAAGACAAAATAGATGAAGAAGAATTGGATGAAGGATTTTATGAAACCAATAATATTTTAGTTATGGCAATTTACGCAGTAATACATGTGCTAAATCAGTTTCTGATTATGATGGATGGAGAACAAATTGAGCCTCCACTAACTCAACGACGAATTATTAGCATTGGATATGAGTATATACATCAAGGATTGAATGATGATCCTGCAATCTTGAATTCAATAGCATCTGATTATGGCCAAACCAGGACCGATTGTGCCCCCTAAAATAAGGGAAAGCACAAAATTTTACCCTTTTCTCAAGGTATGTGATGATTATCTAATTATATTAATATTGTAATTATAATTTTCATTATTATAATATGTAATTTTAAAAATATGGTTATATTTACATATGAATAATTTTAGGATTGCATCAGAGCTATTGATGGTACACATATTCTGACAATGGTGAGGGGACGAGATGTAAGCAGCTATTGTAATCGTCATGGAAAGATATCACAAAATGTATTAGCAGCTTGTAAGTGCCCCAAGATAAGTACTTATTTTTTAAATGATTCAAAGCTACTAAGTGATGCTTTATCAAGGAGGAACGGACTTAGGCCTAGTTCGGGATTGTTGTCACTTTTAAAAAAAGTTGTTTCTGTTGTGCTTTAAAAATAATTAGCTGTAAAGTAAAGCAGCTCTATGTTTGGTAAACACTATTTTTAAAGTGCTGTTAGTATAAAAAGCAGTGTTAAAACCGTTTGGTAAATTTTAATATAAATTGTTGTAACTGTGAATAATAACTAAAATAGACATGATGTTAAAAGTGTTATGCACTAATCATGTGGTGGTAGTGGTAGTGATGGAGTGGAGTTGGTGGTGAAGATGAAGGCGGAGTTGGTGATTATGGTAGTTGTGGTGGTGGGGATGGCGGTTGTGGAGGTGGTGGTGGTGGTGGTGGTGGTAGTGGTAGCATGGTGGTGGTGGTGGATGTGGAGGTTTTGGAGGAGGTAGTGGTAGTGGTGATGGTGGTGGTGGTGGAGGTGGTGGTGGAGGTGGTGGTGGTGGTGGCGGTGGTGGTGGTAGTGGAGGAGGAGGTGGAGGTGGATTTCCGATTGAACCAACAGACGAATCTTCATCATCTTTTTTTGCAGTATTACCAATTAATGAAGATGATACTTTTGAAACCTATTGTTCAAAACCCAAGAACAACAACGAGAAGATGCTAATGCATCGAGGGCTAGCATAGTTTTATAATATGCAGAGAGATGCTACCTAGGAGGATATGAAGCTACATCAAATTGGATATTTAAAAATTGGTTGAGGATTGTGTTGGGTTTTACTATGTCCTTTATTTTATTTGTGTTTGTGTATTTGTATGTGGATATTTTTTTTTTTTTTTTTTTTTTTTTTTTTTTTTTTTTTTTTTTCTAGCTTTTAGCTTTCATTGACTTCTACCTTTGAATATTTGCTTTTATTTATGTTGGTGTCATCCATGGGAATGCACTGTTATAACCTTGAATGTTGTCATTCCTATTTTATCCTTGAAGGAAACGCATTCTTTTAACCCCATAAAATGACTCATCAATATCAAGCCATAACTTGGGGAGCAAACACCTTTGTCAAAATATTTTTCTGATGGCAATGTGCTTTATGCTAAAAAGGGGTGCCAATGCTTCATGGGTCTGGTCAAGTATCTTGGAGGGTCTAAATGTTATTAACCAGGGCATGCAATGGCAAGTGATTAATGGAGAAAGTGTTAGGCTATGGCATGACTGTTGGATTCATCCTATTCAGGTGTTCGATTATCCGGCCATCTATCGGTTGATTTAGGCCAAGAGACTCGTGTCGCAACTATTATTCATCCAACTACCCGATCCTAGAATGTGGAGCCAATTAGACAGTGCATCTCTACCCAGGAGGAAGCTGCCATCTTGGTTACCCCTCTTGGCCTCCGTGACGGTAAAGACAAGCCAATTTGGCCTTTGAATAGACAAGGGCAATACTCTGTCAGGTCGGGGTACTATTTTCTGCATTGCAGGGGGCTTTTTCTTTCGGCATCTGTAAATGGGCTGGGCTGTCGTAAAAGGCAGATTGATGAAATTGTCCCCCTTTGTCTGAGTTCGAAAATTAGGCCCCAAAAATGCTTCAAAAGGGCAGTAGAGCCTTAGGAAGCATCTTGGTTACCTTCACCAACCAAAACAACAACAACTTACAGATGATTTCTTAATGCTTACAGATGAGTTCTTAGCTTGGCATGAGGAAATCATGGCATGGGAGCAAAATTGGCATGAGTTTAGCACTAAAGAGAGAATTATGTGTTCTTGGAGAGTAGAAACGGTGTCCAGGTAAGAGAGGAAGGGTTTTTAAGTAGGTTTGGCTGAGAGAGAAGGGAGAAAAAGGAAATGAAGGCTTGAGTGCTTCTTCCGGCAGCTTGACAGTGACTCTGTCACTATTAGAACAATCTGCCAAAAGAGGGAAAATGGGGAAGAAGGGTGAATAGTGCACGAAATGGCTGGATTTTGCAAGTAAGAGAGGAAGCTTGCTTTCTAGATGTGGATGTCCTTCGTTGGGTAGAAAAGGCCCTATTTATAGCCGCTGGAAGCCATCTTTTTCCAAGAAACCCTAATGGCTTCCATCCCATTTTGCCAAGTTTTTCCCTTCATTTCTCCCCTCATCCCTTCAATCATCCTATTTTGGTGAAATCTACTCTGCTCTTTCGCACAAAATCAGGAGATTTGGGAGCTCAAGGCCCTTTTTCCCGCAGCCTCCCTAGTGATGAATTCCTATTTTCAGATATCTCCTTTTCTCCCTTTCTTTTCCTCCTTCATAGTCAGATCTGATAAAGGAAAGAGCTTTAATATACTTGCTGATTCGAAGGGTGGCTCCTTGCATGCCAATATCTTTTGGTTCCTTGGATGTTTTGCTTGAAAGCTTGTTCCTTCCCTCCCAGCAACCTACGTGGTCTTCCCAGCTCCCTCCAAGGCTTTGTCTTTCAGTTAAATGCTGGAGCCTTTGCTGCCCCCTTACTTCTAATTTGTATGGGCTTTCAACCTACCAAACAAATGGGCTAATCTCATCAAATATTGGGCTATATGGATTAATTTTAGTGGGCCATTTTGCTTGGGTTTTTTGGTTGGGTTACTTTGGTTGGGTTATTTTCCCTTTTTGTGCTTACCCATATGTTTGGGCCTAAGAAATGGGATTGGATTCCGAGGCTCCCAAGCGACCCAGAACCTCAATTTCTCGGCCCATCAATGGGCCTCATGACAACTTATTACCATCCTTACCACAACCTACTCAAGCAAGCCCCGGGCATTTAAGTGGCTTGGGCCCACTTAGTCTTGTAGCGTGGTTGGGTGTGACATAACAATGTTTGGCATGGCATATTGCTTGGCATGTCTTTCAATTATGATGCTTGACGGGATAATTAGCATGAATTTGTAGAACTAACGCATTTTACAATCTTAATTTTGATTCCTAGCACGATAGATTATTTATTTGGCATGGCATGCGAAGTGTGATTCGTGCACGGCGAATCTTTGCGTGCTCCAAATTGGGCCCTTTCTGAATAATGTGTCATTTTGGGCTAGGAATTTATTTGGGCCAAACCGTGGATTTTTTGGGCCTCAACATTAGCCCCCTTAATTATTAGGGCCATGGATAAGTGCTAGAATGGGCCGAATAATTAAACCCGGCCCAAAAATCAAATTTATAAGCTCCAACAGCTATTTGTGGTTTCCCAGATACCAACTTCCTCCTTCTTCTTTTTCATTTATTATTTCTTCCTTCTTCTCCTTCCTCTTTACGCACATCGGAGTAACATTATCCCCATCACCTTCATCTTCATTTTCCTTTTCTTCCTCCAACGAACTCAAAGCGAGAGAGAGAGAGAGAGAGAGAGAGATCAAGAAGTAGTCAAAATGATTTAGTCGATCATGAGACTCAATTAATAAGATAGAAAGCCAACAATATTTCTGGTGCTCACAATATGTAGTATTGGGATGGATAGTATTGATTGTTTTGTGAACCACTCATATTGGGATTGCAAATAAAAGGGGTGTTTTTCTTTGATGGTAAAATGGAGCTTTAGTTTTAAACCATAATATAGTTTACTAATTTAGTAGAAAAAATACAATTTAGTCTAATTAGCAAAAGGAAAAAAACCAAAATGTAACAAAAATACCATTACAAAATATGAAAATTACAACATATGCCATTTTTAGTATTTAGTTTTAAACCAAAACTGAAAAACGACATCAAACCAAAACTAAACCAAAACGACATCAACCGAAACCAAAATTGAATCACAACCCATTCGCGCGACCTTTCAACTTCACCTCCAGAAACCTCCAGACCACCAACGATCATCGAAGACCACCAACCCATTCGTGCGACCATCATCGAAGACCACCAACGATCGAAGCCGATTATTCATTCTCTCTTTCAGCAGTTCCAACCTATTCCCCCAAAATCTGAAACGGCGACGAGCGACGAGCGACGACCAGCAACGACAACGATTGAAGGGTTTAGCACTCTCTTGGGGAAAAAATCGTAAGAAAATGACCCTTAACACAAATTTGCCTTCGATTTTAGGGTTCTGAAATTTTACTTACTGTTCATTCTTCATTCTGCAATGTAGTTTAGGTTTTGGGTTTAGTTTTGGTTTGAAAACCTCTAAAAATCACAAAAGAAAGAAAAAGAGCATCAAAACTGTTTTCTGCACTGAAGAAAACAGAAACTGCATTGTACACTACTACATTTAGTCTTTGCGCGACGAAAGGGTTTTCGTCGCGCAAAAACGATTTTAGTCGCACATCATTATGCGCGACAGAATATTCGTCGCGCACAATCCGTCGCGCAAAGGTCGTGAAGAAAGGATTTGCGCGACGAACAAATGTCATTCGTCGCGCAGTTTGCGCTACGTATAACATCTTCGTTTCAAAAAACATTTCGGGACGACCTCATTGTCCGTCGCACAAATATTTGCGCGACGAACCAGAGGTCGTCGCAAAAAAAACTGCGCGACGGAATTGTCTGTCGCGCGAACTACATGAACCTTGCGCGACGACATCTTATTCGTCGCGCATACACATCTTGCGCGACGAAATTATTCGTCGCGCAAGATTAAGATATATTTAAATGTTTTTTGCGCGACGATTTACGTTTCGTCGCGCAAAAGCAATATATATTATTAAAAAAAATTTATTATTATTTGATTTTTAATTTTGTAAAAAAATAAATGTTGTTTTTTTTTTAATTAAAATGAAATTACAATTAAAAAAATTAATCGTAAAGAAAACATCTATTATATAAAATAAAATAAATGTATACAAATTGTAAAATAAATTATAAAAATAACAAACTAATCAAATAATGTTCCGAAATCTAATTGGTCATCTGCCACATGCGGCTCGGAGGTATGCGGCTCGGAGGTATGGGCGTCTGCAGGGGCCGTGGTGTGCTGGGGATGCTCGGGCTGGACGGGCTCGGAGGTCGACGCACCAAAATTCGGGATTGGAATCCCGGACCGCGCGAGCGACTGCAGAATCACCGACATCTGACCCTCAAGCTCGGCAACCCGCGATGTCAAAACAGTCACCTGACTGTTTGCCTGCGACGATGACCGCGGTCGAGGTTCCCTCTGTCGGGCATTCCCCATCCCCCTACAATACGTTCCCGGCCTCCTCCCGAGAGTCTGATCCAACGTCTGCGTCAAAATCTGAAATCCAGCATCATGCGGAGGATCCACAGACTCGATCGGAGTCTCGGGAGGAAGTTGGGAGGCGGACTCTTGAAGAACCAACTGGCTCCTCTCCACCATCGTCGTCTGTTTAACATTACATAAAATATAAATTAAAAAATGCATATAAATTGAAAGTGTAACATAAGAATTAAAAATACATAATACTTACATGAAGGGACTCGGCCAACTCATCCCCAGGTCGAACATAAACGTCACCAAAGACGTCGATCTCTGGGAATTTCGACCCCCCCTTAATTGAACAAGAGAAGAAAAATATTAGTATGAACAAAAGAAATTAATAATAATGACATATTAAAAATTAAATATAAATTATATTATTCTTACCCGACGCCGTGCATCCATCCTATATGAGAAGGGCCTGGAGCCGGAATGGTGAAGAAGAGTCTTCTTCTTCCTATTGCCCTTATTCACTTGGGCTTTATTCTGTTATACAAAAATAAAACGTAAGAATTGAACTATAAATAAATTAAATAATAATGAGATATAAAAAATAAAATAAACATTAAACAAATATTATTAAAAAAATACCACATAATCGGGCGCCTGAAAATGAGCGCAGAGCCACGCCCAACTATCCTCCCGGCCCTCAAGCTCCTTCGGGCAACCCTCCTGAAGAGCGACTTCCGGATCATCAAAGGCCTGGAAATGGTGGTGCAAGTCGCTCTTCCACTGCTTGTACCTCTCACCGAAGAGTCTGTTGACGTACGCCAAAGTCTCCTCGTTGAGGTCCTCTAAGTCGTAGTTCGTCTGCAATAAATTGATTACATACATTAAGTAATAGAAATATATAAAGTTTGAAAGAAAAATAATTAAAAGATAGGAAAAATACCGACAACTGGCCGCGAACTTGCATCTTGATCTCGTCAGGTATGACCTTCCAAGACTTCCATTGCATCGGGCAATGGGTCCGAACGACGTGGCCAATGTCGTGGGCCAAGGAGCTATGCAAGTCCGCCGTCGGTGCAGCCCGATGGCGCTCGTCATATCCGATGCTGATACGACTGTTGGTCACCCGGGTGACCTTCGCCGTCTTCAGCTGCCGACACGGCCCTCGGGTGTTCCTCTT